TGACTATTTTTGACCATTTATTGTCATTGCATCGCAGGAGATGTCCAGCCCATTTCCATTTGCCGTTTCTTATTTGCGAGAGTGTTTCTTTGAGCCCTGTTTCTTCTTTTATCTTCTTGCATCTGATTTTATATATCTTCTTTACTTTCATAATGCTTCTTTCGATGCTATTTTGCCCACACCTTGATCTTCCTCTCTTGGGCTTTTTTCAATGACCATGTTTGGGAACCATAGGTCACCACTGGCATAATACATCTATCGAAAACTAGCCTGTTTAGGTCGATACTTATGCTTCCTTTTGTTATGTAGTTCAGAGACCAGAACTTGTCCCAACCAAATGCTATTCTTCTCTGGATTTCTTTTGTAATTCTGTCTGAAAAGGAAACTAACTGTCCCAAGTAAACATATTCCTCTACGTATTCCCGGATGAAGTTGTTCATTTTTATTTCTTCCTTTGAACTATTGGTCATTAGTTTCGTCTTATTTTGGTTTGTACCACAAATTTTTTATCCATGAAGAAGCATTAAATATTTTACAGTTTAAAACCGGTATAACCTCTGCAAATGAAATAGTTTAGAAAATGTTATTTTCAATTTAAATTATTTTTCATGTTTGATCATATGCAATTGTTATTTTATCTTCAATAACCTGTCTGATATGAGTCAGTGAAGTAAATATTTATTCACTTTAATATTTTGAAGGAGAGGAGGAGGGGAGATTTGATGAAACAGGATAGTCCGTGGACTAGACACATCTCCCGTGCACCCTGCCTTCACCTTAACTTCTAAACATATTCATACCTATATACAATATAAACATTCGCCCACGAATCTCCAAGCCCGACTTTTTCCCACAAGTGGAAGGCAAAGCAGGACTCCAGGAGGATCCCAATTAAGCAGTTATAAATAAAATGTAGGTTTTATTCTGATTGATGTTCTCTAACAGAGCTTAAATGGCTAATTTTCAATATTAGCTTTCCCTAAAGTACCTTTGTTTTTTTATTTTTGAAACAATTGACCATTTCACATTCATTCATAATATAAAAGATAGTTAAATATAAAATATGAAAACAATCTATAATTAACTAAAGGAGAAATCAGAGATCGTAACGGAGAATAGTTGTAATTGAGAAACCAAAGGAATGCGAATGCACCCGAGCTCGCCCGCAAGATAATAACACGCTTCCATACGCAATATGAGCTTAATATAATAAGGACTCCGACAATATTTTGATAATATACACATATTCTTGATAATCTGTTGTGTTTTGTATTATAGTTATATTTCGTTATATTTCGTTTAATCATTTAAGTAGTAAATACATTGTGCATATTACGAATAAAATTATACAGAGAGGATTTTTTTGGCAGATCTTAGATATATACTAGTGACTTATACGCCTCCCGAATATTTACAATGATAGAAAGAAAGTCTCATTGAGACAAGGCATTGTCAAGTATCCTCCCAATCAATTCGTGATTTTCATCGGGATTAATTGTAGCCAGGCCAAATCTGGAGTACTTACTTTTGGCTCTTTTTCTTGCTCTTTTTATTTTTGATTACGGAATGTTCTGAGGATTGATTCCCTCCAAGCTTTGGCAGATGGATCCTATTGACTGGATTCACTTGGCTTGTATCGTCTGTTGTCAGTTGTTTCCCTACGGTTGCATCCCATATATTCCCCCCTCGCACCTAAATAAGTTCCTGCTCTTCTATGGCTGTGAACACGCAGAATACTACTACTAGAATACCTTCGTACATATTTAACTGTAGTCCATTGTACATAAGTATAGCAAACTATTTATCATTTTTCTTTTTATACATATGACATAAGTGTACAACAATAAATAGATATTGAACGATTCTATAATTATAAATAATTATCTTCCAATAATATTGGGATTTGCGGTATTCTGCTTTCGATTATACACATATTTATCTAATATGGTGGAAATTTGACTAAACTAAATGCCTAAATTTTAAGAAAGGTATCAAATGATGCTGAGATTAAGGTTAGGCTGAAGGCGAGAAATACTTGTTATTTTTCTATGACAAAACCACTTAGCTCGCGCCTCTTATCTCGGAACTTAGAAATTAGAATCAATAAAACCATTATCGTACCTGCAGTTCTTTATGGATGCGAAACGTAGCCGCTCAAGAGGTGAGCAACGTTTTAAGGTTTTTGAAAATAAAGTATTGCGTAGAATATTCGGACCGAAGGATGAGTTAACCGGCGAGTTCAGAAGATTGTACAACGGCGAGTTGTTTGAACTGTATCCAGTTAATATAATTGAGGTGATTTCATCGCGGAGATCAAATGGGCTTGTTAAATAGTTGGGCTTAGTTACGAAAGAATTCCTAAAAGGTTGATATTTGCTGAATGGTAAATGTCTGAGAGGTAGACCGAAGCGACGGTGGGAAGATTGAGTTAAAGCCGATCTGAAGGGACTGGGTTTGGACGGTGAACGGTGGAGGGAGGTGTATAATGAGCGATTGGTGTCGGTATCGAACCTCCGGGTTCGCAAAGCCTTTTATTATTATTATTATATGTAGTAACTAAAGTTGTCTAGTATTATTAAATATTTTGCCTCAATTTGTATTTACGAAAACAATTTTTCGTAAATACAAAATTATTTTTCTGTGACAAAAGTACTTAGCTCGCGCATCTTGTCCCGGAATTTAAATAATAGAATCAATAAAACCATTATCCTACCTTCGGTTCTTTATGGATGCGAAAAATGGTCGCTTCCATCAAGGGATGAGCAACGTCTTAATGTTTTTGAAAATAAAGTTTTCCGTAGAATATTCGGACCGAAGAAGGAAGAGTTAACTGAAGAGTTCAGACGGTTACACAATGTTGAATTGCATGAATTGTATCCGGTTAATCTAATTGAGGTGATTGTATGGAGGCGAATCAAATGGACTTGTGAAATTGTTGGGCTTCTCAACGAAAGAATTCCTAAAATGTTAATATTTGCTGTAACGAATAGTAAATGTCCGAGGGTAGGCCGAAGCGAAGGTGGGAAGATAGCGTTAAAGCCGATCTGAAGGGATTGGGTTTGGATGGCAAACGGTGGAGGGAAGTGTGTAGTAAGCGATTGGTGGTGTCGGCATCGAACCTTCGGGTTCGCTAAGCCTCCTATTATTATTAATTTTATCAAATGATACCGTAGATGTTGATTTTTTATTTTATAAAATATTTTTAGGATACATACGAAAAATTCTAATACAGGAAAAATCCTAATTATCTGAAGCCTTCAAAGTTCGAACTTGCTTGTAGAAGGTAAATGGGCTCTCGCCGATGCTGCTCAACCTAGCGTTGGGGAAGGTGATTAGAACATCACTTCATATCATGTCAAAAAGGAGAGGTGCACGTCGGAATGAATTATAAAACTGTTGGATAATATAGCTGTCCTTGGAAGCAACCAAGAGGACGTTGAGTGACTTGCTAAGACGCATCACAGAAGGAGAAATAAATGTAGCAAATGAAGGTTTAATAAAATATATGGCATTTAACCTGAAATTTCATCCCAGTCACAGAATCTGTGTATAAAGAAATCGCTTTTTACAGTAGAAAAATCCTATTACCTCTTTTTCGCCGTAACCTCAATGAATGATCAACAGTTGGAAATATAGCAGCCCTTAACAAGCGCAAACAGATATTTCTTATCTTTTTTATAAGTATCGAAATACCAGATTAAGACTGTACAATGATATGATAAAGCACGTTCTGATATGCGGGTGCGGGACCCAGGCATTAACCAGCCCAGTAGAATGAAGTATTAAAATATTTGAATGAAAAGTTCTTATTTAATTAAGATTAATCAATATCTCATGATATGAAGGCTAGGAGATAAGGTGGGCGAACCATACAGATCGGATCAAAATCTAAAACCAGATGAATAGATATAAGCAACAAGGGTGCTATAGAACTGTGTGTAAATAACTGAAAAGAAATAATCCGGTATAGGCAGTGGTGGAGGCTTGTTTAGGCGGTAAAAGATCAACAAAGTCTGTAAAGCCGATTTAAATTAAATAGGAAAATTTCGATACATAGTCGAATGGAAATATTTCTTTAAAAAGTTATTTTTAAGATGTCTTTAGACATTTCACAAACTTAACACAAACATCTACCTTAACTAACAGCGAAATTATTGCTAAATCAAACTACTCATTTTATTTCTCTTGATACCTACAGCACATAAGAAATATAAAAAACAATAATAACAAATATTGGCATAGTGAAATAATCACATATATATTTGTTAGTTCCGTAGTTTGTAAAATGTCTTAACACACCTTTAGAAATCACTTTGTTTAGATATTCTTTGCTTCATATCTCTTTGGTGAATATTCACTAACGATTGTGTAGCCTTCGCTTGTGGCGTGTTTGTTTGCTAGTTCGAAACGTGCTTTGGTGTGTCAAGACCATCTCTCAACTATGTATTTAAAATATTACTTGGATGAAAATAACCAGAGGGTTTATACGTTGAGTGATGTAGCACCAGATGGTTCTCCTACAAGTTGTGCTCATCCTGCCCGTTTTAATCCTAAGGACCAATACTCCAGTCAAAGAATGAGGATCAAGGCAAGATTTGGACTCCTTCCTACTCAAAAGAAAGATGAAAAGAAGAACTGAAGATATAGCTGGGACTGTTATTTTTAATTTCTTTTCAGTTTATTATTTCTCATCTCTAAGTCTAGCTTACTTACATCTAAGGTTATTTTTCTATTGATTGCTGTTCAAAATGTATGTATATTTTACCTAATTTATAGTTTCAATGAGAGAATTACATAGTATTTAACAAATGTTATAAAACATATACATTTATTCAAAATAAGATGCTGTCATCAATTTTTAATGTTGTTAATATATATTCATAAGTGTGGATGCCTTAAAATGTTAATCAATATTGTGACAAATAGACATGTGTTCTAAATCTCACTTTAAATGTGTGTTTTTTATTTTGTTATTAAAAATAATTAATTCTTACTAGTGTTTATTTTCATCTACCTTTTTTATTAGCTATTATTTTTAGCTTAACAATGAACATTTCTTAATAGAATTATTGAGAGAGTGTGGTTTAATTTTGATTAAAAACTTTTCTTTGTGATATAACGATTGAATAATTGATGAATTATATTTTTGTTGAAGTAACTGCAATGTAAATAATTTATTTGCATACTATCAGAATACTTTATCATTGTTTCTGGTAAAAAATAGTAATAGTTTGAAAACAGGTGTCTGCAGAATGCATTGTTAAGTTAAAGTAAACAATACTCTGTTACCAGGTAGAAAAACCTACATTGCTATAGTAATGGTCTTGTTTAGAAATTTTAAATTGATCATTCTCTAGTGAGATTTCTGAGGGTGTTTTTTAAACCATTTTTATTTCTTTTGAATAAATTTAGAAGCAATAATCCTTAGCCATGGCAAATGTCACAGAATGCCATGTGAAAAAACCAGAACAGATAGAAAAACAGGTATAATTAATATATTAGTAAACTATATCATTTTGAGAACATAATTAAACTCAGCACTGAGGTCAAAACAATAGGGTAGGAGTTTTAGGGCGATTAATTGCAGGATTATTACGACCGTCAATATAATATACTAAAACGTTAAAATTACTATAGACTGTGTCTTTGTTAATAATGCTCTGATTTCGATGATTTTTAACTCAAATTATCATGGGTATAATCAAAAATAGTAAAGTTTTTGAGTATGCATAAATAAATTCAACTTTTCTTCTTAGCTTATTTTCCCGAGATAAAAGATAAAAAGATAATCTTTTTAATGGCTCATTCATTGGATTTGATGAAGAACTAATGAAGATATGATGTAATGACAAGACTAAACCTTTGAGAAATAGTATAAATAGATCATGAGAAGGAGTTGATCGGAGGGTGCGTTCAAATAAATACTAAATTAAACAAACAGTATTATTTAATTTTTGCCGACGTTTCGACCCACTTTGCAGGGCTACAAAAGATACAGAGTTAAAGTTAACTTTAACTTACATGCTATATTCTCCTTTATTTTTATTCATACTTATTTTCCATTTTTGTTTGTATCTTCTACATATATGATACTTGATATTTTAACTACATTGTCACCCACTATATCTCTGATATCATCTTTTTATTTCTGTATCAGACAACTTATTTTATATCTACATATTCATTTATTTTATTTTCACCATGTTTTGTATCTTTTGTAGCCCTGATGAAGTCCTGCAAAGTGGGTCGAAACGTCGGCAAAAATTAAATAATACTATTTGTTTAATTTAGTATTTATTTGACCACACCCCCCGATCAACTCTTTCTCATATTATATCAACTGTCAATCTCTACATCATTATAAATAGATCAAATTATCATTATTATAAAATTTGTTTGTTAATATATTTTCTATAATTTAAATATACCTGATATTTTTTAATGTGAACTAATATTGGATCTCTTATAGCAAAAAAAATATCAAGATTGGTACTTTACATTTTAAAATTCATTAACTACTGAAAACAATTTATTGATGAGCCAAAGCATGCAATGTGGAATAATATATATGCTTCATTTACTTCATTTGTTGATAATTTATTGTGCTATATTTATATTCAGTTTTCTAATTATTTAACTGAACATTCAACATGACGATAAAAACAGATTAACCTGATGGAAGTATACTTTTTTAATTAATTGTTTTTAGAGGTTCTGGGCCCTAAATAGAATGGTCAGCCACTGTGTTTGATATGGATTTAAGTTTTTAGAATTTAAAAAATATGGGAAAGGGAAATATTTATGAAATTAATTGTAAAAACTGGATCAAATGTCTTAAGAATGTTTTTTATTTCTATTTATTTTAAAATGGCCTCCAAGGGTGTGAATGAGCACTGACTTCCAGAGCTCAAGGACCAAGGTTCGAGTCTGGCTGAACTAGTAATTTTTCATCAGCCGTGGATCGACCTTACTGGAGCACACCCAGCCTCTATAAAGTGGGTACTCTTAATTAAGGAGAAAACCTGGTGGTTGAGTATGATATCGCACCAATCACCATTGGCTTTGTAGCAGTACTGAACCCAAGACCCTTCATGGGTTGTGATGGTACAGGTTTTTAAAATGGCCTCCACTTTGTCGCTTTTAACATTTCTAAGAGACCTGGACTTGATCAGGATTTAGAAAATTGAGTATTTATGATTTAATATTCTATACTCTTATAAATCTGATCAAATTAATCGAAAGTAGAATTAAAAAAGTAATATAGGTTTGGCAAATAAGTCATTTGTTTTTTGTTTATTTCTATCTCTGTCATACACTTCTCATCTGACCAATTAATCTCTATTTTTAATATGTCAACAACTGTTTCTGTAAACTCCTGTCAAAATTAACATAGTATTTTGTTTGCTATAACAAAAAAATAAATCTTTTGACATATTTTGCTGTATTATTTTAAAATGAAAAGCTTGCTGCAGAAGTTCATAAAAAAAATTTGCAGTGTGTATAGGGATGATGTCCTAACCGAACACACTTTTTATTTTAAAACACTTAACTAAACACACAAATTAGCTTCCCAAATTTCGTTCAGGAAATTTTGATATGAATGACACTCCATGGTCTGGTCATCTACAAGAAATTGAAATGAGCAATATTAAGACCATTGTTCTTCAAAATAATACCCAATCAATGTGTAGAAATAAAAATATTGTACACAACCATCTGCATAAGCTTAGCTGAGCCAACTTAACTACCTACATTTCCTGGAACCTTTTGCTGCACCTTCTCTATTCAGGAGACCTAGCTCCAAGCAACCACTGCTCATTATAGTCTCTGCAGAACTACATGAATGCAAGAGCCAATTCCAAAAAGAATAGGACATAAAAAAACACTAGTTTCTTCAATAAACACAATGTTTTATGAATGTATAATCATACAGTTAGTGGAAAGATGGAAACGAATCATGATCGATATGTTGTAGATTAAAATAAATTTTATACCTATATTACGTCTATTTTATTTCACTCTGAAAAACTAAACGGACTTGTTTTGCAAACCCAATATATTATTTCAATAAGAGATCTTCATAAACTAAGATGCTAAGAAAAAAATATTTTTCTAGGATGTGTGTAAGTCTGATCATGGAAAAGGTACTGAACCAAATCCTCCTTTCTTGCCCCAAAAGTTGGATTCTTACCCTGCGCCAGAACCTGGACCGATGGGTCCTGTTGGTCCATGGGCCACAGGTAAGGTAGAATGGAATCCCATGGCCGGAATTACAGGTACACGACCTGTTGTCGACCACTACTCTATCACAAGATATTCTGACGGTGAATGGAGGAAGCATAATGAGGAAGTTCTCTGCTGCACTGCTGATGATCTTCACAGGGTTAATATGTATGTCACTACATACTAATTTCTAAATATCTAGGATTATTTTAAGACTAAAAAAAAATCAATGAAGTATAATTTATTTTCTATTTTAATAATTAATATGCATATTGTGGAGTGATAATCTCAAAGGAAAAAAAATACTCTTTTTTATTTTTACTTACGTGTAAATGAAATATATTCTAAAGGAAGGAGATGGTCCGGGGTTGCGGTCATAAATAGGCTAAATAGTGGTAAAACTATTGTATTGAAAGCCGACGTTTCGACCCGACTTTGCATGTCTTCTTCAGGGCTAGAACGGACAAGATACAAAAAGATAGAGAATTGTGGCAGTTACATAATATTTAGACAGAATTTATAAACAATGTCAATAACCTTATTAAAATTATAAACAGTAAGTACATTAAAATATAAACAAAGTAAGCTGAGAACAAGATCCTAGACTGAAGTAAATAGATGCTAACAAGTTTAGGATCTTGTTACTTAGCTTACTTTGTTCATGTTTTTATGTACTTACTGTTTATAATTTTAATAAGGTTATTGACATTGTTTATAAATTCTGTCTAAATATTATGTAACTGCCACAATTCTCTATCTTTTTGTATCTTGTCCATTCTAGCCCTGAAGAAGACCTCCAAAGTCGGGTCGAAACGTCGGCTTTCAATTAAGTAGTTTCACCACTATTTAGCCTATTTATGACCGTAACCCCGGACCATCTCCTTCCTTTATAATGCAACGGTCAACTATTAAATATTCGAAATATATTCTAATTAATTAACAATATTAGTGATTGTTGTCATATAAAGTTTGGCTCTAATATGTGTTTTTAAAAAATAAATTATATATTGGACATACCGCCTACTAATAGGTAATTTATATTACATGCATCTTTCTTCCCACCAGAAATATACTTTGTCATCATATAACTCCTTCCTTTTACTACTAACTAGCCCAGGGGTCTCCAAAGCATGTTCCTCGAAAGTTTATTTGATTTCATGGTAAAATTTAAAAAATATGAATTTACTGAAATATAAAAAAATATGAGGTTACTACAACATTAATTGCACGAGTTGTTTCTATTGAAAGCTCATTTTACAACTGAAGTGTCATTTATAGAACAAGGGGTCTCAATGTGACCTGTGGGCCAAAAAGTTTGGAAACCCCTGATCTAGCCTATAAAGCTTCTAAAGAGTTACTGCAAGGGACGGATATATGGGGAGAGAGGGGGGGAGGGCTTTCGGGTTGAAGTTTTCCCCGAAAAGGTAAAATATAATCATGTTAAAGAAACAAATTATCTCTAAAAGTATTTTTGTTAATCTAATTATAGTTAATAGGACTTAAAGAATCACTTAAAGATTATTTCATATAGGTAATTAGTTTCTTTCTTTCTTCCGAAGTAATTATCCTAATATACACACATACATACATAGTTGGCGCGTCTAGGCCTCCTCCAAAAGTCTCCGCCAGTTGGCTCTATCTGTTGCTGCAGCTCTCCAGTTCCTAAAGGAGATCGTGTGCGTCCGCTGTGACGGAGTCAGCCCACCTGAAATTTGGCCTACCCACTCTTCGCTTGCCATGAAGCGGTCCCATCGCCCAGCCGTAAGGCTGCAACGAGCCACCGGTCCTCCAGGTAGGGGGAAACACTCACACTAACATACACACAGTACTCAATAGCAGCACACTATAACACCCTTCATTACAGACAAAGGTCAATCACAGTACACACCCCAGGGTCTCCCTCCCCTGGGTAGCCGCTCCGGATGGGGGATTGCGTCAGGGCGCTCATAGGAGGCAGCCCGTCCACCTAACTCGGGGCAGTGGGCCGATAACTCATTCTCCCAAAATTTAAATATCGCGAAACCTCTACATCCTAATATATTTATACAATAAAAAAATCTTTCGGGCTGAAACCCCTCTCCCCAAAATTAAATCCTAGATCCATTAGTGAGTTACTGTAAGTACCAAAAAACAGACTAACACATACATCCTTCATCCCTAACAATTAGAATTTGTTTTTATGAATTAAATAAAACATTATTAATAATGATACAAAAATTAGTTAATTAGAAAATTAAAATGAAAATTCTTATTTATATTTTTAAAAGCTTTTATATTTCATTTAAGGGCAGATTATAATAGTCGAAGGGGGTTAGAGAGTATATCAGCAGTTGCAGACAAAACTCAAGAAACCTCAACGAACAGACTTAAAGAACGTTCTTCAGAACTACTTCGTTGGAAAACGGAGGTTGAGCAAGAAATAAGATCTTCAGTGGATGAAGTAAGACTTCTTGGAATGCAAAGACGTCGTGCTATTCAAGCAAGAAATGTCCTTGGACTCTGTAGGTAAAAAATCAAAGAAATAATCTTTCCCTATAGTTTTCATCAAAGATGGAAGTGGTTTCCATTGGTTTATATTCGAGCAAACAAAGGGTAGTTTTTGTAATATGAATATTTTCATTGACATAAATAGTATGAATGCTTACAGTACACTCATAAAATTTTACCAAAATACAATATTCCATAGTCCAACCAACATAGAGCTCGGCTGCATATGAAATGGACTCATGTTAATTTATAATGGGGAGACAGAAAGCTTTACTTATATTGATAAAAATTGAGATATACTCAGTATCTAATGGTCTTTTACACATGAATGATTTTTCATAATAAAACATTTTTTTCTATGGTTTTTAAAATGTTTACACTTTTTTGTTGCCAATTTTTTTTCTTTTTTTTATATAATACACATACATATTGATCATAAAAAGGGTAAATGGGTGTTTACTCACAAAAAAAAAAGTAAATGATTTTTATGAACAGATTGTCATAATTTCTTCTGTATTCAAGGAAATGCCACAAGTTGAAGTCTGAAATTAAGATTAGTTTATAAAAACGACAGAGGAACAGTTTAAAATGTTGTTTCTCTTTTGAAATTTCCATTCAGAGGTTTATGCCCATTGACCTTTTTACTATGGATATTTACCAGTCTATCATAATAAGAATATTCATATTGTTTGTCTATCTGCAGTTGCATTTTTTAATTTGAACCTTGGAAATTGAACGAATTTCCATAATCCAAATTACTCCTAACTCATATGCGTTAAATTATCATTTTTTTTACAAACACTATTTCAAAATGAATAAATCAAATGAGACCTATAAATATTTTGTTGATATGTCAGTTTCTCTTCTCGAAGTAGTTGACAAACTAAAAAAAATGTATTATAATCAAAACTATATTTTTGTGTATTATTTTGTAAACAGGTCAATCAATGGAGAATGTTTGACAAGAAGAGGATTCAGGGATGGATATGATTTAGCAAGAGACAAAGTAGAGGAAGAATTAATCAAAGTGTGTATTTAATTTTTTTGAGGAGACTATGAATTTAATTAAAAAAAAAAAATGAAAAAATATAAATAGCTATAAGTGTAGTTCTATAGAAGAGTATAGTTAATATGACAATTACACTCTATATATTTCAGTATTCAAAACTGATCTATAGTGTCTATTTCTTCATTATCCTAGAAATGCAATATATGAGTTCTCGGTTTTAACGTGCTGTTTGAAACTATTTATAATGTTATCTCTGTTAGCATTTTTTTTTTTTTACAGTAACAGAGAGCGGAGATTATTTAAAATCCTTCAAGTTTCAGAAATAAGCTTACTCCCTTATTTAATAAATAAATAAATTTTATTGTTAAGTAAGTAGAAAAGAAGTAATATATAGATTTGAATTAGAAGCGATAAGAAGGAAATAATCACAAAAAACTCAATTTCTAATTTTTACTCACACGCTCATCTAAATTGAGCAAGAAAAAAAATTAAAATCTCGTTGAACTATAGGAATTCATTTTTGAAAGTTCTCTAAGTTAGAAGGATATAAATCCCAGAACAAAAAAGAAAACTTTAGTAAAAAAGTTTAATCTATTTTAGAAGAAGGAAATTTGTTTTTCTGACATGTTTATTGTAAATTTGTTCCACAAACAATTTTAATATAATTTAATAAGATAACAATTTTGTATTAATTTTTTTTTTGTATTTATGTTGCCATTAGTAAAGTCTAATTAAGAATTTGTTAGAATAATGACAATAGTAAGAACAAGAGACAAATAATAATAACAGGTACAAAGTGTGGATAAGTAAGACTTACTAAATAATAATTATTTAATTATAATTATAATTATTTAATTATTAATTATATATTATAATAATTATTTAATTATAAGTAAGACTTAAGTCTTACTTACAAGTGTGGATTACAAAGTAAGCTAAGTCTTACTATTGTCATTATTCTAACAACTTCATTTTACTGTAATTTTTATGTTTCTAATTAAGAATAATTTTCAATTTTTTTTTTTTTGCTAAAACATTAAATACTTTTTGTCAGTTGTAAGAAATAAATCAGTTTTCAATTTTTCTGAAAAGAAAGTAAATTTTTTTTCTCTTCACTTTACTATATAAAAAATGTTTATATACATCTTAAAAAAAAAGGAATAGAAATTCTAAATAAAAAAAAGAGGTAGTTATGAAGTTTGTCTTAATTTCTTAAAAGTAAAAATTACAGAACTGTTTCTTTTATGAAACTTTTGATTCATTTGAAAAAAAATCTTTACCTATTTGTTTTTCATTTTTCATTCTATAGTCATGCTTCATTAAATGTTTTTTATTCACATTTTGTTCTTTATCAGTTATTTCTTAATTGTAACAAAATCCTTATTAAATGAAGTACAATAAAGCATTAATTATAATGATATCAATTATCTGAACTAACCATGATATGAATTATGATTTTTTTGTTTATTACAAAATCGATCTAAAACATTTTTCTGACTTAATATATTACTCCAGAAGTTGAAATAATCGAACTATGGCTCATTGATGACACTAACTGTGGCTTGAACAAATATCAAAAGAAATCTGTACCGAAAATAATGATTAGGTTTTTTATTTTAAATAAAAATGACTAGAATGAGTAAGTTACAAATTTTAAATGAAGAAGAAACTGTTTGATCAAGTATAATTATAAATAAAGTAGTAATGATAATGGTTAAAAATTTAAATCAAAACCTATTTTTTATATTCTACTTATAAAATGTTGATTATCCATATTAGTTTTGGGCCTTGATAAGCCTAGATTATTGATTCCCTAATGTAACATATAAAGTTATGGGATATCTTATATCTTTGTTGATCCTTAGTGCAACCAAACATCTTATTGTTGACACAGGAGGCAGCAATGATTGCAGAAATAGATATGCTAATTACAAACACAATAAGAAAAATTGACGAACAACAAGCTGCAAATAAGTCAATGAAGGAACGTTTAGAAGGTGACTGGTCTGATAGAAATGAAGCATTTATTTTGACAAATGAAAACATCTACCTTAAAAATGATTCACCCACGATCTTGTTTAGAGCGGCAGCTGCTAGATTTCCAGAACAGTAAGTAAGCAATGTGATATAATTTATTCTTTACTTATGAGTAAATTTTGGCGTTGGCCAAGGACCTCTAAACTAAGATTTGGCTAGTTCTCGTAGAAAGCTCATTTCACAACTGAAGTAATTAATATAAATATATCTCAGTTTTAACGAAGTTTATAAAAATCAAAAATTAAAGAGAAACTTTTTTTCTTGGATTCAGTGTTTTGGAGTTGAAAACTCTAAAAAATCAAGATTTTTGTTGCCAAATGTTCTTCACCTTGTTAAAAAAATGAAAAACTACTACCACATTTTTTACATTATCTCTGCTTCGATTCTTAACTATCTGGCCTAATTTTTTGGAATGGGAGACATGGTTCATTTCAATTAAAATAACAAGACTTTCGTGGTTCATATTAAAACCTCTGATACGAGTATCCTTTTGAGATAGGGCCTAACTCAAGTTTTTGACCTGTTTTAGAGAATTTAAAAAAAAAAAAAAACTAAGGTGAAATTTGTTGGATTTTTAGTAATAAAAAAAGATTTATGGATGAACTATGTTGATGGTTCTTTTTTTTTTTTTTTTAAGCTTAAGCAGATATAATGTTAATTGATACAATAAGCATAAAGGAGGCCGTCATCTACTCCTAGTAACTTGAAAAAAAAAAAAATTAATCCAGATCTATTAACCAGCTCCTTTTCAGTCTTTGTTAATCTTTTCTGGTATATATGGCCATGTTTTATATAAGTTAGTTGATATGTCCAAGAAGTTGTGATATAATTTTTTAAATGTAATCTTGTATCGGTATATGCAATGTTTTGTCACTAATATACTAGAATGATTGCGTAATGATTCTTAAAGTTTTGGTTGGAAAGTCTGTATTTTTAATTTAAATCTTTTTAATGATGTAGAGGTTGATCGTTGATATAATATGAGAAGGAGTTAATCGGGGGGGGGGTGCGGTCAAATAAACACTAAATTAAACAGATAGTAATTATTTAATTTTTGCCGATGTTTCGACCCACTTTGCAGGTCGTCTACAGGGCTACAAAAGATACGAAACATGGTGAAAATAAAATAAATGAATATAAATAGATATAAAATAAGAAGAAGTTATCAGATACAGATATAAAAAGATGATATCAGAGATATAGTGGGTGACAGTGTAGTTAAAATATCAAGTATTATATATGTAGAAGATACAAACAAATGGAAAATAAGTATGAATAAAAATAGAAAATAAAGGAGAATATAGCATGTAAGTTAAAAGTAAACAGATTGCAATAAAAGATAAGGAATAAGTGTATAACAAATTAATAGAGATTATATTTGATAACTATAGGTTAACAGATAAAGAAAATGAATGTTAACGAATAAATAGATTGAAAATTGAATAAGCATTTTATAGTAAAGCTAAAATAAGAATAAGTTAACATAATAATAAGATAAATCTTATATCTTATTATTATTATCTTATATCATCACATATTATCTTATTATTATGTTATCTTATTCTTATTTTAACTCAATTTTCAATCTATTTATTCGTTAACATTCATTTTCTTTATCTGTTCATCCACAGTTATCAAATGTAATCTCTATTAGTTTGTTATACACTTATTCCTTATCTTTTATTGCAATCTGTTTACTTTTAACTTACATGCTATATTCTCCTTTATTTTCTATTTTTATTCATACTTATTTTCCATTTGTTTGTATCTTCTACATATATAATACTTGATATTTTAACTTCACTGTCACCCACTATATCTCTGATATCATCTTTTTATTTCTGTATCTGACAACTTCTTATTTTATATCTACTTATATTCATTTATTTTATTTTCACCATGTTTCGTATCTTTTGTAGCCCTGAAGATGACCTGCAAAGTGGGTTGAAACGTCAGCAAAAATTAAATAATTACTATCTGGTTAATTTAGTATTTATTTGACCGCACTCCCCGATTAACTCCTTCTCATATTAAATCTTTTTAGTTCCTGTAGAGTTGAATTCTTAAAAATCAACTATAAGAAATCAGTAAATTACTATTGCAAGAAATAAATACAAAACATCGATATTTTTATACTAATGTAATATTAACATCCATGTTTTTAAACTTCAATATATGTTTATTTTTTGACACCATAAACCATGGCTTGTGGGACTTAGTGGAGGCCTCAATATGGCCTGCAGGCCAATAAGTTTGGAGATCCTAGCTCAAAACCCTCATGTTTTAGAGAATCCTTAAGATTTGAGAAAATTATTTTATTATTATTACAAGTAAACTGGGACGAATTTCATGATGATTTGGAAAACAAACTAGACTTAAAAATTCCGCTAAAGACAAAAGACGACATTAATGGTGCCATTGAAAAACTGACAGCGTCAATAACAGACAGTATAAATAATAATACTTTTATCAATAAGTTTAACAATTCACAAAAGACTGACTTGCCACAGCATATTCGTATCTTATTGAAGGAAAAACGCTGAGCAAGATCGAAGTGGCATAGAACCAGATATCCAACAGATAAAACTCATTATACCCAACTGACTAACAAACTAAAATCTGAAATTAAAAATACAAAATTCAAAATTTACTAAATTTTACTGAAAAACTTACACCTACCGACAAATCACTATGGACGACCACTAAAAGGCTCCTGAAATTTAAAGACTGTAATCATCCGCTTCTTACTGAAGCTCAAACCTGGTCCAAATCCGATGAAGAAAAATCACAAATCTTTGCTCGTCACCTCTTTAAAACCTTTAATCCACACCCCGATATTCTTAACCCAAATCACCTTGAATGTATTGAAGCAGAATTGGATATCCCACTCCAAATGTCTCTTCCACCTAAAGCCTTTCATCCTTCAGAAATATCCGACATCATTCAAAGGTTACCTTCCCGAAAAGCTCCTGGACACGACCTAATTACATCCCAGATCCTAAAACTCCTTCCTCGGAAAGCCATTCTATTCCTTACTTATATATATAATGCTGTACTGCGATCAACATACTTTCCTGACCCTTGGAAATTCTCTATTATCAAAATGATACATAAACCCAAAAAGCCACCAGAAAACCCATCCTCTTATCGCCCTATCTCCCTTTTACCCATCCTAGGCAAAATCCTGGAAAAGCTCATCCTAAAACGCCTGTACCCCATCCTAGATTCTAATCACATTATCCCAGATCATCAATTTGGATTCCACAGATCCCATTCCACTATCCAGCAATGCCATCGTGTGATGGATGTTGTCTCCTCTGCATTGGAGCGCGGAATGTACTGCACGGGAGTCTTTATCGATGTAGAACAGGCTTTTGATCGAGTCTGGCACCCAGGACTGCTTTACAATCTCCGTAAATTCCTACACCCTACATACTTCCTCATTATCCGTTCCTATCTTACTGATAGATCCTTCAAAGTAAATCATAATAATGCCTATTCATCCCTTTTTTCCCAGTCCGCTGGTGTTCCTCAAGGTAGTATCCTAGGTCCTATCCTTTACACAGTTTATACAGCTGATATCCCAACCCATCCTAACACAGTCATTACCACGTACGCCGATGATACATGTGTCCTATCAGTTAATAACGACCCAACAATTGCATCCCAAACCCTTCAATCACACATCACAAACCTTTAAGAATGGTGTCAAAACTGGAGAATAAAAATAAATTCCAATAAATCCCATCAAATCACCTTTACCCTTCGTCGTAAACCTATGTCCTCTTGTCCTACAGTATCCTTTAATAATACCCCACTTATTCCTGTTGAACAAATTCGATACCTTGGACTCCACTTAGACAAACGTCTAACTTGGAATCCTCATACCAGACTGAAACGACAAGAAACAGCTCGACGTTTCCGACTACTCCAGCACTTATTAGATAAACGCTCTAACCTCCCAGTCAAATACAAAAGACTCATATACATGACTACAATAAGACCTATTTGGACTTACGGAGTTGAGCTCTGGGGCTCCACTAAGCCATATAATTCCTCTCGTATTCAATCCTTACAATCCAAAATCCTTCGTAAAATCCTCACTGCTCCTTACTTTGTCACAAACAAAATCATCCATAACGACCTTAATGTTCCTTATGTTTCTGACTTGGCCCAATCCAGATACCTATCCTTCCATAACAAACTTCAGAACCATCCAAACCCTCTCGTTTCTAACCTTGCTTCCTCTTCGATCCCTGACAACCCTCAGAGGCGTCTGAAAAGAAGATGGCCTCGAGATCTCCTTTTGTAAATACATTTTTAGAGTGCTACCAATGGGTAGTTTCTCAACATGTGATTTCATGCTATTTTATTCCTTTGTTCACATTTACTGAATGTATTTTTACTTGTAATACAGTTGTAAATATCACCAATAAAAAAAAAAAAAAAAAAATTATTATTACAGAATTATTAGTATGATGCTATTAAACTTTCCACTGTTTAGTCAATCATCCGAAGAAGGCTGGGAAAAGCACACTAGGGAACTATTGGGTATGGCAGCCGCTGTGAGGGGTCAGTCGGCAGAGCTGAGAGCGCTGTTGAATGGACCTATTCTGCAGGATGCCATGCGAGACTTGAAGCAACAAGCTGAGACCGTGGATATCACTTTGGCAAGGGGAATCGCAGATCTCGAACAGTGTATCAATGCTATGCACCAAGAGCTTGCAGTGGTCAGTATCAATTTTGTTTCGGTGATTGATTTTATATTTTAATTTAAAGGAGGTATTTACAATCACTCCAATCCAGATGGGACTACTGTGAATGTAAAATTATGTGTAGATTTTTTGGAAAGTTGAGTATTGGTTGGAATTTCATAGAGCCTACACTCCATCATGCCATGACAATAATCCCATCACTCTAACCGACCTAGTTTGCGGTTAACTGATGGAATAGAATGATAGCTAATGCATTTTTTATTTTAACTATTTGATTGTCAAACTAATATTAATTTTTAAATTAAAACGTTTACAGATTGAAATTATTAAATATGCTCCAACTTTTTCAATTTATTGAAAAAAGGTGTGAAATATCTTATCAATTACTTATAAATTAAAAAACAAAGTGACTAATATCCATCTGACTTAAAATAATTTCCATAGTGGTAACACTGTGTGTCACTCTACTTTGATGAGTGATCAAGCTATACATGGAATTTTGAAAAAAGCTAAGAATTAACAACAAGATTTATCAAGTAACGTATTGTACAACGTATAACCTCTCTTCACTTAGACCAAGATGTCTAATGTACAATATCACACCACTTTCATAGGTGGCTCAAGATAGCATGATGGAAGATCTATAAATAGAATCCTGGGTGTGTCTAAAATTAGATAAAAGTGATCAAACAGTGTGGTAAGGTCTTGCACTCAAGTGAAAAGTACTCATTGGAGCTTTGTTCATCCTTTTGAGCAAGTGGAAGTTGAAACCAGGGATATAATTAAAGCCAATAAACACCCTGATTTTAACTGAAAAGAGTCAGTTAAAAGTTTGCCAAAGTGATAAATCTTGATTGGTACCACTGCATAAGTATCACTCCACTTTGACGAGTGAACCAAGCTCTCATGATCACACTATATAATCCTAGCGCTCAACTACATTGTTTTATCCTTCTATTTGGAGATATTATCAATGGCTGTCACTCATAAATGCTAATAAGTCAATCTTTCCCATGTTGGCTTGTGGACTAAATTTTTTTTCAAAATATTGGAATAATTTCATTTATATAAAAAACAACTTAGGAGGAGGTTGAGGAATCTAATTCTTGCTATGAACTGAATAGGGTTTCTTAATCCATTCTTATTTTGTGAGAAGGAGTTGATCGGGGGGTGCGGTCAAATAAATACTAAATTAAACAAATAGTATTATTTAATTTTTCCTGACGTTTCGACCCACTTTGCAAGTCTTTGTATCAGGGCTACAAAAGATACAAAACACGGTGAAAATAAAATAAATGAATATAAGTAGATATAAAATAAGAAGAAGTTGTCTGATACAGAAATAAAAAGATGATATCAGAGATATAGTGGGTGACAGCGCAGTTAAAATATCAAGTATTATATATGTAGAAGATACCAACAAATGGAAAATAAGTATGAATAAAAATAGAAAATAAAGGAGAATATAGCATGTAAGTTAAAAGTAAACAGATTGCGATAAAAGATAAGGAATGAGTGTATAACAAACTAATAAAGATTACATTTGATAACTGTAGGTTAACATATAAAGAAAATGGATGTTAACGAATAAATAGATTGTAAATTGAATAAGTATTGATAAATCAATTTATCATCTTTTTATTTCTGTATCAGACAACTTCTTCTTATTTTATATCATCTACTTATATTCATTTATTTTATTTTCACCATGTTTTGTATCTTTTGTAGCCCTGATGAAGACCTGGCAAAGTGGGTCGAAACATCGGCAAAAATTAAATAATACTATTTGTTTGATTTAGTATATATTTTTGACCGCACCCCCCGATCAACTCCTTCTCATATTATATCAACGGTCAACCATCTCTACATCATTCTTATTTTGATGGTAACCTATTAATTTTACAGGTAGTTAGAAGAAATGCTGAAAGTGAAACACTTATGTTTGACCTTCAACATGGAATAAGAGCATTAGATAAAGCAATGAAAGTAGCTCAGACAAGATTGGATAATTACCAATTGAGACCAGGTGTTGAAAACTGCAGAGATAAATCGATGTTCAGGTTAGTTCTGTTTCGATTGTTTCCTTAATAAATAAAAAGAATATTTTTTTAGGATTAAAGGTGTTCATCTCTTGTTTTAGCCTCATCGATGAGGTGAAATCAGTTGGAGAGCAAAGCACTTCTATGAAAGGGCAGCTTCAAGAGGCGGAAGAAGCTCTATTAAATTTAATTAACTCGAGATCAACTTTGGAGAAAGAGCTTAAAAACAAATTGAAAACATTGGATATTGACAGAAATAGATGCCAAGCGTGTAGGTCACAATATCCAACAGCAACTGCCATGTCTGGTTTCTAATAAATTTATGAAAATTATATATGTATTATCATTAATCAGTAGTATTATACATATTAATATTAGTAAAAATATTTATTAAGTGAGTCACTTATTTCTAAAGTGAACCCTAATTATTACAGAAATCAAGATAATTATCGGTTAGTGTAACCCAATGGTGCAATTATTTTTTTTTTTCAAAAATGAACTAAAATATTTAAAAAAGTAGTGTGAAAATTATTTTCCAAACTGGCCCTTTTTTTAGCTTTCACATACCTATATTTGGAATATATAATAAGGGAAAGTACTGCGATCGTGGAAATTTTCGAATCTCAGTTTTCAATGGAAATACATGTTTTGAAGTCCCCTGAGTTGAAATAACCAAGTCTCGCAAAATGGTCTGTGTGATCACGAATCTTAATTTGCGTATTTAAAGTTTATATATGGTCCAATAGTAAGCCACTTTATTTCATCAATTTTACACATTTTTACGATTTTCTCGAAAACGGCTCAAATGATTTTGATTAAACTCAGTATTTCATTGTATTATTAAGTTGTTTTTTAATATCAGCTAGATGTTATCCAGATTCATGTCACTTTACGGGGCTTGATTGCCCAATGTTCATATACATCTTACCCTAATGTAGCTTTAATTTGGTTTATGTTTCAAAAATAACTCTCTCTTATTGACAGTAACTATAAAAAATATAAATTTTGAAATAATTTGATAACTGAATTAAGAAAGAAAAAAGAAAAATGCTTATCCAGATCGAAAATGAATCTCCGTAATAGTCAGAAGGTATACATACGTATGATATATTGTTGGAAAGTGAAGAATTTTAGAAAAACTAATATTTAATAAATAAAGTTGTTGAAGGTAACGGAGAGTAATGAAAAAAATATAAATAATAATTTCTGAAAACTAACATTATTTAACGTAAATCACACGTTTCCTAGGAAATTAAATGGAATTTTCTTAATAAATGTAAATGTTTACATTTTTTTTTAATTTTTAAAAATCCACCGAATCAAGGCAATGACATTGTTTAAAATACTATTTCATTGTAGTTGTATAAAATATAAAAATATTTCATAGATGTGTAACCTTAATACATTTACTGTAGTTTAATAACTCTATATCTGATATTATATTTAAATAATTCGTTATCAATCATCCGTTTATTCCAAAAAATCATCATGAGAACTTTTAGATAATTAAATTAGTGAATAATTTGATGAATTTTCCCTTTGTGATATCCCAAAAGTATCCACTTATAATTAGTGTGACAACTTTTGATCTATCTATGACAGGCAATGCAAATCTCATAATTCCATTTTAGTGAACTTTGCAATGGAAAATAACAGTTTAATAACTAATAGTCGTACAATCCATAATCAACCGTTGATAAAATAAATTGGATTTTTGTTATTTTAATGGTATTAACAATTTGTTAACTGTAAGCTTTAAGCTTTAGCTCGGTTAAAAGTGGATTTAAAAAATTTCATAATAGCCCAGCATTGCCATAAAGTAATTTATATTCAAATAGAGTGGTAAGTGAAAGTTGTGTGTTGCCCGCACCACAGTTTTTCTTCAACGAGTCTAAAGAAACTTGCATTTCTCAAATATTCTTTAAAAAATAATTGAATAATTGACAAACAGCACAATATTTTTATAGGCCACCTTTTTTATCGATTTTGTGATCAAATTATCTTACGATCCCAGCAGAAAGCAAATGGGTATTTACGAGTTCTTAGAACCTAATTAAATAGAGAAAGTTTGCCCCCCCCCACCAGATTGATGAAAACGCTCCAATTCCAAAAGTTTTCGTAAATAAAATAGTTGTAGGTTACGATGAGATGAAACTATTTACAAAGTTTTAGCTGGATGTTAATAATTCGATAAAAAGGGGTCTATAACATGGACTATAAAGCTCTATTTCATAAGCCCAAATGGGCCTGATGATGGAAATGTATAAGAGTTTTTGTAGAATGTTGGAAGTTTAGAGCGTTTGTCAAGTAAATGTTGTAGTGGTAGGAATCTATTAGCAGTTTCTTGTCTTTTCAGTCTAGTATGAGGATTCCAAGTAACATGTTCTACAAATTAAGAATTTCTTAATTAATTTTTTTTTAAAAGTTGGTCTTGATATTACAATTCGAATAGAAAATATATTTTTTTGTATTTACTGAAATTTTTTCAATGATGATTTGGGTTCAATTTGGAAATAAATGCATAAAGTAATTATATATATATATATATATATATATATATATATATATATATATATATATATATATATATATATATATATATATTATATATGTAGTTTCATTAAGTTAATGAATTACATAATGTTTAAAAAAAAAAAAAATTGTTTTAAAACTGCTTTACCTTAACTCAGAGTTTGGATCAGATTTAGAGAATAAAACCTTTGAATTGCTATAGGATATTGTACCATTTTTTAGGAAATTTTATAAAAATTACTAAAAGCATATTTTGATGTACAATTTTTAATAAAGTATATCGATAGTTGGAAGTGGTATCTCACACTTAGTGTGAGATATAGAAATTAGTATGTGACAAAGTTTTGACCTAAGTTATTTGTAGTGCCATTATCAGAAATAAGAAAAACAAGATTGGAGAAAAATTGAAATGAAAAGAATAAATATTGGCCAGGAAATTTAAATTAAAAAAAAAAAGTCTTGCTTTTACAATTAATGTAGAGTTGAGAGTAGCATAACTAGTGAATTCTTCATTCTTCTCTAGGGAATTAAATAGGAGTGCGTTGTAACAGTTTTATATAATAGAATTAAAGCACTATATTTTCCAAAACAATATCTTCAGATTGTACTATTTAATGTACTACTCAATTGTTTTATTATTAATATTGCAGTCAATTATGTAATTAATAATATATTAATCCAATTTAAAAAAAAAAATTTATTTGCAAAAGTAACAATCAGCCATCTATGGGCTATAAGCAATAATAATTGCCAATCATAATATAAATTAAATAATACAAATTAATATTTAAAGAAGGTGGTGGTCAAGATATAAATAGAAATAGTATAAAGCAAAAAATATGATATAAAACAAATTAAATCTGACCGGTTAGAAATGAATATTGAAAATATTTCTATGATTTAGATACTTCTGTGTTTTATATACTCTTTATTGAGCCTTTTTTTTTTTTGTAGCTCAGAAGGTCTGTGACGAGGCCAAAATGTAGGCATTCAATAAATAATTTCTGCTATTTTTAATATTATTCTTGACCACCATCCAGACCATCTTCTTTTATTACTAAATACAATCGTGGTCATAGAAATCACACCACCTATTTCTTTTGATTCTCATGTTTATTCCATTGAATGTTTTTGTTTTTCTTTGCTTATTTAGGTTATACTGTTTCAGTTCATTTTTTCCAGTTCAAGTAATGCCAGGATAAAAGCTGTAATTATGAAGTTTCAAACATATGTCCTCGTCAGAAAGTATTAAAATTGTGATGTTATATTAAGTGAAGGAATTTTCACAGGAAATAGCAAAGAGGAAAGAATACCACCAATTAACAGCCGTGATAGTTTTGAAAAAAAAAAAAAAATTTCTTAAGGCATTATGGGAGCTAAAGAAAGGAACTGGGAGGAGAAAAATAAAATAACAATTTGACCATTTAATGGTGCTATTGTTTTTAGAATATCGATTCAAAACTGGCAAAGAAATATCCAGAGATCTTGCAGATAGCATTGTGGTAAATGAAATAAAATTTGTACTGGTGATGTAATTTCTATGAATATGACTGCAAGTCCAAATAAGTGTCATGTATAAATTTTTGGTTTTAATAATAATAATCCTGATTAATATTATTATTGTTGGTTCATGAACCAACAGCAATTATTTCAGCTTCTGGAGGAAGAGAATCTTCAGGTATAACAGTACAAGAAGACAAAATTTGACCTTTATCTCCTAAGACGTCAAGAGTTATTACTTTTGAAGATGCTGGAACTTCTAACTTGTTTGTAAAAGATATTTTGCCAGTGTTGAGATTCTGTAGGAAAAAAAAAAAAGAAGAAGAAAATAATAGTAAAAGAAATAAAGATTTGAGGAATATAGGAAAATAAAATTGACGGTTTATTGCAAAAAGTCACTAAGTGATATTTTATAACTTCAAATTATTCAAAATTTGGATGAATTTTATCTTTGTGAAATAAGAAAATTATACAGTAAGTGTAACTATATCTGATAAATGAAAGGGTGAGTGTCATTCTTGTTAACTTAAGCTGTTTTTGTATGGATAAATAATATTGAAATTCACAAAAACATATTTGAAAGCAAACCTATATCAAAAATGTACTTAGTGATTTTTTGCAATAAACTGATAATAGATAGATAGAAAGTAAACTTTATTCTGGGACGAGGTCCCTTATGAATAACAGATATGAACAAAAAAATAAAAACTACATCTGGCCAAAAATTACATTAATCAATATTAAAGAAAATATACAGTATCTAGTAAAAATAACACCATTTTGAAAAAAAAACATTATTTAAATGAATTAACAAAACAAAATAATGTAAGCACGGGTTGATTTTTAAAATTAAAACTCAATCAATTTTAACAACCATCCACCTCAGTCAAAATCTGTTTTGCAATATTTATTTCATTATATAACGTCATTTTGGGATGTGAGAAGGAATTGGTAGAGATGATATTTAAATGAGGACAAGGAAGATGCATGGCGGATATCAGATGGCAAGGAATTCCAGAAGGCAGTGGATCGGGCAATAAAGGAATATTTAAATGTCTTGGTTCTATGGGAAGGGCTATAAAGGTCGGAAACACGGGAACTTGTTTTCTGGGAGTGGACCACGGGTTTGAACTGTAGGAGACTGTAGATGTAGGGGTGTTGATCGTTTGGAATAGGAAAGATCCAAGGAAATATATCTGCGGAAATGACAAAATATTGAAATATAACAGAACTGGAACCTATAATAATGGCCTGAGTTTTCATCGCGTTTAGATTTAAATTATTCAGAATTGATGAACAATAAACAAACTTAAGGAAACCATATGTAATATGTTATACATAAATGTATTTTTTTTTCAGTTGATTTACATACCTAGGAATTCTTGTATTTAAGCATAGTACTTGTGCCTTTTTACACAGTAAAGTTTCTCGATCTATGAACTTACTTTGGTCTCGTATAAGAGGGTTTGATTACATTAGGTCAGTGGACCAATTGATCCAAGTTGAAAACTTTTGACCCAACTCTTGTATCACTCCTTCCATTTTCAGGAAACATACTATTCATCCTAAGAAACTGCCATTTTTATTTTGTTTTATTGTCAGTGCAACTCAGCTTTTACTTATATTCTTTTTGTATTGAAAATTTCAAGGTGGACACAAGTTCAAGTTTTAAAATTGATTGAAGTGGTAAGGGACAGACTATCACTTAATTACTGATTATATTGTTAAACAAACGTTTTTGTTAATTTTGAGATTTAATTCTTTAAATATTTGCCAATATTTATAAAACATTGTCATATATGGTGTTGAATTAATGGCAATGGCAATTAATTCTTCAATTTTTTAAAATGAATAACAAACTTTCCACCCAAACATTTTTTTTTCTGTCTAAAGAAACAACTAAACCAATTCTAACCAGTGAGAAAGTCGAGATTTACTTTGTGGGTCCAACACAAAATAAATTTCAATCTGCAAATCTAGTATCAAAACATGTTACTACAATTCCGCCTGTCAGAGAAACTTGACAAGGTAAAAGGTTCTATAAAGTATGTGGTGATCTCTCCTGGTGGTTAAAAAACAAACTACTCAACTTCAATATCCAGGGAAAAGGTTTGGTCAAGAAACTTGATTATGTAAAATGGCTTTTCCATAGAGTAAGAGGGAAATAGAAAAAAAAAAAAAAAGGCATCTAAAGTTATCTTAATTTTCATTAATAAAATATTAAAATATGCTCACCTCGTTGTATGAAGGATCATCCACTTCTTCACTAGATTTGGTAAGGTACTGAAAAAAAGATTCCCAAATCAAACCTCAATTATGACAAATACCATTACATAACAAAGCAGTAAACATTTTCTAAATTCAGGTGTTACGATTTAGATATTAATTGCTATTAAATTGTTGTTCCTATAGTAGGAGTACTATTGCATGCTAATTCTAAGAGATTTCTTTTCTGCTGGTAGTGTAAGTATAAGTCTAATGTAATTCTCTATCAGCTATTTCCTTCTGTACATCTTGAATTTACAGCTTTCTGGGGGTCTCCACATCTCTAAATATTCTGACTTATATGGAAACACTTTTCGTTAATTTTTTTTTACTGATCTCATTAATAATTGGATCCTTCTAATTTTAAAACTTCCATGTTTTTTTATTGAAGGAGCTTTCATAATATGAACTCACTTAACTAGTCCTATTGAGATTGATGGAGTCGTATTACTGAATTTTCTGGATTAAGTAATGTGAACCATCTATATATTTTTTTTTGTTCTCCCCTTCCTTACCTTATAGGCAATATGGGTTTTTCTCAGGCCAGGAGAGAGGGCAAAGGAATCATGCCGAGTTAAAAGTTCCACTGGACACCGGGATTTGAACTCGTAATTATTTTTCCATCTCTAACTTCAGTCATCGGGTGCTATGCACACACATTAGCCCACTCGGCCACCCCTTTTTTCGTTCCCCCTTCCTTGCCTTTTTTAGGCTACATGAGGTCTACCCATCTATTTATCTCGGTGGTGTTACAAGCCTGAGTGGGTTTTGGCCTGCACAATTTGGCTCAGTCTTGTGCTGCCACCTTCCAGTTGATAATACCTAGGAGGTTTCTTACTTTCTAGGCTTACCGAACCTAACCACGTCAATCTCCTCGTAGGTTTGATACAGTTTGCAGTTCTTCCTAATCCTCCATCCCTCGTTAACTCTCAGTGGACCAATAATACATCGCGAGATTTTTCATTAAAAAATCATAATATCCTTTTCATCACTTTTGGAAATGGGCCATGTATGTATGTAAGGCATAGGTGAGAACAGGGTGGATTAAGTTCTTACAAAGAGTAAGCTCGTTTTGCCTGGTTAAGGGATGTTTCTTCTAACTCTGGCTGAGAACTTTCAACTGGATTACAGTCACTCTTGTCACTTTTTCTAGCGCAAAATTAAATAGAATAAGCGGGAGTGAAAAATTATTGGGCTAGATGAAAACAAACCAATATAAATGGTAAGTTATACCGATCCTACTAAGCAGATGTATTTATTTATGTACTCCTGGATGATTGATATACTAAATTTGAAAAACCTTAAAATAAATCAATATTTACAAAAAATATTACTAAAATAGTACTCACCGAGTTTTCTATTTCGTCTAATTCTGACATTTCGTTGACATCAAGGCTTTCTAGCCGAACAGTTTGGAGGCGTCTGTATCCGTCTCCATCAATTTTATACCTGTTATATCAGAAATTATAAATTAAAGACATCAACAGCTACGTTAACCTTATACTTTGATAAATTAATAAAAATAATTTACAGGAATCGAGAATAACCAGGAGGCTTTTTTATGTTGTGTTTTTTAAATAGATGTTTAGTTAATTGTGCTCCTCTAGTAACCTTTTTTTCACATATATGACAAGCAAACGGACCATATTGCCTTCCAGGTACATGTTTCTGAAAAAAACAAAAAAACAAACAGAATAAAATTTCTGAGATTAAATGATTGATATCTATCCATTACATTATTAGGAAAGAAAATGGTGGAAATAAAAAAAAATAATAACTTAGTTTCATAGCTTAGGTTAACTGTTTTATTCAGAATGAAATTAGTAAAATACAGGCCAAATTTAAAACATCACAAGGAATGTATTATTAAGGATTATTGTGATAAAAAAAATAATGCAGGCCATACTAAGAGTTTATTGATAAGAGGAATAAGAATGAAAGAAAACAATTTATAATAAAATAAAGAAAATAGTAACTGTCGAGGTATAATGTGCGGAGAGTATGCAGTTACTAGAAGCCAGAAGTACGTGTTCAGAATAGAGGGTGACTAAGTGGAAGAAAGATGTATAGAAGGATGACCTAAAGTGTCAGGCGGATCAGCACCCGGACCACTCTTGATTGGCGGTGTAAGGGATCAACATTAACACTCCACAAGAATGGTAATCACAATCAGACTTGTGGGAGGATGAAATACTAACGGAGAGATCAGAGTCCAAACTTGCATGGAGTAAGAGAAGAGGATAAGAGGTTAATGGATGGTGTAAAATAAGAAGAGCAGAGTGATGAGAACATAAAGCATATATCTGCATGGTGGCCTACATCCTAAAGGTGTGGAGATCCTAAGACCGAACAATTTGAGACATGAGTGCGGTATTCATTCTGCCAGGACTAAATCAACTATCAAGAGCCATTACAATAACAGTTATTTTTAAGCTTTTAAACTTAATTAATAAAAAGTATTTACAATGTATATACATATTTCAATTTACAATTTGAGTATTTTATCATATAGCAATAAGAAATAAAAATACATTAGTAAGGTACATTGTGAGCTTGTGTGGCGCTGCCACGTAGCGGGTAGGTACACTAGTTGTCTCCTGTAGCAAGGGGCGAGAATCTTTTACCGCTAAAATATAAAACGTTTATGGGCAAAAAGATTTATTTTTTCTCCCACAGCCTTCTTGAATCACACTTCACTATTTTTCCAAATCTTTAGATTACTTTTATTTGTATTGATTCTTCCTCAGATGTCATCAGGTATTTCATTTTCAGCTTTTTCATTCCCATCAATACCTTGTTTAGGCCACATTTAATAATTAGATACCCACAATCATTATTATGATACTTTCAAACAAGTATAAGTTTCTGACGTTTTAACATCTTTATTGGTTAAAAACGTTATGATTATGCATTGCATAGGAGATGAATACATCTCCTGTTAGAACATAGCTGCCCTAAAAAATAACAGTTGCGAACTGTGCTAGTTTCCATTGCTTAAAAAAACAAAACATCAACTTCACACTCCATCATCAAGGTTAGAATTACTTATAAGCAAGATAACAAAATAACTGTTTACATATAATTCACCCATATTGATATACTATTTAATTAACAAACTAAAAATCTATTGAAAGGACAAATAGAGGTGGATATCTCTATGATCTCTTGGGCACCTCTGATAAAACGGGTAGAAAACCTGTACCACTATAACCCATGAAGGGTCTTGGGTTCAGGATTTTGTAAGTACTGTTTCTCGGTCAACGGTTGTGCAAGGAGGTGATTTGACCAAGATCATGCTGAACCGCCAGGTTTTCCCCCTTAATTAATAGAGAGTATGCACTTTAATGATGTTGGGAGTGCCCCAGAAGGATCTGCTGACCCCAGGGTCGATCCATGGCCGAAAAAACAGAATAAATACTTTATCTGCCATCAGCCGGATTCGAACCTGGGACCTTGAGCATTGAAAGTCAGTACCCTACGACTGAGCTACTCCACTATCTACAGAAAGAAACGTTTTGATATTTTTAATATCATGAAAACAATCCATGTATGGCTTTTGTACTCTCAATGAGAGAACTATGCTAAATAAATAATTCTTGAGCGTGTACAATAATGGATTAGTATAACTTCAGAGATAGTTTTACTATTAAGCTGGAGGGACATTTTTCAATTGAATAAGCTAATCATTTATTAAGTAACTATCACTTTAGCAGTTGTGATAAAGAATGAAACTTCACGACTTATGTGTGTTGAATAGGCTATCTTGACAATATTATATTATATTTTTATAATGAATTACAATAATGATATTTCTTTTTTGAGCACCAAACATTCTGATATAGAAAATTACAAATAAATGTGATTCTGGATTTATAAAATATTACATATGAATAATTTATATTACTGGTGAAGGCTTAATGGTTTAGTATAATGCATCTTAAGTTAAGTTTGAGTGTATGGGAAGGAAGCTCGCACAACTTTCTTCCATTCAAGTCCCACCTCCCCAAGACCTTTTTCCAGCTCCACTTTCCCTCAAGAGTTATTCCACTTTCTTCAAATTTCACACCAATGTTTATTAAATTAAAATTAAGGATTTTAATTTAAAAATAAAATAAAACAATGAAAAGGATGGTTAAATAATCAACTTTAGAAAAAAATATATATGAATTCGTGAGGTCTACTGTTGACTGAACTATATGTTATTACTAGGATTTGAAGATCTAAATTTACCAAGAAATAGATTGTAAAAAAACCAAGAAATAGGTGGAAAATATAGAAAAGAAAAGAATCCGATACTACGTAATCGGATATTCAATAATGAGGTGGAGCCTTTTTCATTTACTTCTGAATGTAAACAAATTATTCTTGACTGTACTGTATTAGCTGGAATCAAATGAATCACAGTATGTAAACAGCCAATTTTTCTGTGAATCAATGTAGGAAATAGGAAAAGAAATGGAAAAAATAATTATAAAAGAAATTTCTACTCGTAAACAAAAAATTTAGAATTATTTATGAATGAGTATAGAAGACAAAAGAGTGGGGAATAGGCGGGAAAATGTTTTGCCACTGTGCATCTCCCTCCTCCTCTACCCACCTTCAAACTTATCTTAGACAGAGTCTAATTGTGCATAGTCTAGGATCCAATAATCGACAGAGGTGAACAACAAAAAAAAAATATTTTACTCATGAAAGAGTAAAAGTCCTTCCAATCCGTAATAGTCCTGGAGCTTATACCTAATTCTTTTCTACAGAACATTGTGAAATAAGTGTACTTTGAAACAAGTCCAATTTCATTAATTTAACATCCATGAATAAATAAATACTTTCTGTCAGTGGTAAATGACAGTTTTCAAGCCATGTTCCTGATAGAACACTAGTGTTCACCTTGCATTCCGTCTAATGGTATCGCCAATGAGAGCAGGCTCCAAGTCGATAAAACAATTTCACTACTTGCTCTCCCAAACATTTTCTTCACTAGAATGTAGCAGATAATTGCAAAAGATTCATTTTTTTGGTATCTAAATATGTCAGAACGTACAAAATAAATAAATCAATCAGTAATAGTTAAAAACAATTTGAACCAAAATCATATGTTTTTATTGAAAAGTGATTTGGGGTAGTGAAGTAAAAAAAAACTCTGTCGCTCATTTCAATGTATTATGACTTGTAGAATTTCATATTAATAAAATCACAACAATATATAGAAACAAACAAGTTTTGCTGATGTTGCTTACATCTTAAATGATTAAAACATAAAAACAATGGCTTTAAAAAAATAACATAAATCTATTCATAAATAAAATAATTTAAAAACAAGAACTGATTACCTTTTCAAAGTGTCTCTTCATAGCTAACTGAGAAGAAGTGGTATAATCGCATCCAGACTCGAGACAAGACTGAAAACCCGTAACATGGGACATTAAATGAATCTTCAGATCATATTTGGATCTGCACCTGAAACAAAGTTTAAAAAATATAAAATAAAGCCACATCGGTAATTATAAATAAAATAAAATAATATTGATAACTAAATTAAATAGTAAAGTTATTATTATAATTACTGGTAGGAACAGGATGAACATTTGAATGATTTATAATCCAGATGTATATGTCGTATGTGCTTGGAAAGCAGTGACGGTTTATTGCATGTCATATTACAAAATGGGCATTTATAATGGTGTATGTGCTGACCCATGTGCTTTCTTAAAATCCTTTCAGTTGGATGTAAACTTAAACAGTAGTTGCATTGAAATGTGTGTTCTGTAATCAAATATAATATATATAAGTACAAAGAATAATTTAAAATATGAAAAATAAATACGGGGCAAACTTAATAAAAATCCTACAATACTCCTGTCTAAAATAAGCTTACACCTAAACATATTTTTAAAGTCTTAAAAAAAAAAAATATATATATATATATATATATATATATATATATATATATATATGATGCCTAGGTTTCAAAACGATCTAGTTTTTTCAAAAATGTTAAATATGCTGTAAAATAGTTGAAAAACAATTGTGATGGTGGATTTTATATGGTAATGAAAAATTCAAATCAACCGCTTTCCTTGATGTCTTGCGTCTGAAGGATTTTAAGGGTTGCTTCATTCAAAATATGAGGCTAATTTTCCTATATTATGCTCTCAGAGTAAGATTTCAAGATATATGAGGCTAATTTTCCTATATTATGCTCTCAGAATAAGATTTCAAGATATATTTAGATATTTCTTATTAGGATACAACTCGGTCTGTGATTAAGAAGAATATACTGGTTTTAATTAAACTACATAAATTTAAGCTTAAATAAACTTAATAGATTCATTCAACAGTTTGATGTTTCCAGAAATATGAAATAACCAGTAATAACAAAAATGTATGTTATTTTATTGAGTTTTTTTTTTCTTAATGATATTTACAACTGTATTAAAGAAATACATTTAGTAAATTTGAACATATGGATATAATGACGTGAAAACAGTTGTTGAGAAACTACCCAATGGTAGCACTCTAATGATATGTCTACATTAGGAGATTGCGGGGCATTAGGAGATTACATCTTCTTTGAGACGCCTGAGAGGGTTATCAGGAATTGAAGAGGAAGCAAGGTTAGAAACGAGAGGGTTGGGATGATTCTGAAGTTTATTATGGAAGGATAGGTATCCTGATTGGGCCAGATCTGAAACATAAGAAACATTAAGGTCATTATGGATGGTTTTATTTGTAATAAAGTAGGGAGCATTGAGAATTCTATGAAGGATTTTCGATTGGATATGAGAGGAATTCGATGGTTTAGTGGAGCTACATAGCTCAAATCCGTAAGTCCAAATAGGCCTTATTATAGTAATGTATATGAGTCTTTTGTAATTAAGGAAGTTCAGAATGTTTGTCTAATAAGGGCTGAAGTAATCAGAAAAGTGGAGAGGTTTCTTGTCGTTTCAGTCGGGTATGATTATTGAGAGTAGATGAATAAAATCTTTCTTTTTATCATTTTATTACAGTTGAGGTAGCGGAATGTAAAAAAAACGTTTTGGTATAATATTTGCCTGATACTTTAATTTAAAATGTAATGACAAAGAGCTATGAAATTTAAATTTGATGAAAGTAGACGTAATATATTTCATTGTTAGATTGTTATTCTTACTACAGATTTCTCTTTACCTATGAATTATCTGGTTCCAAAACAATGACATTAAAATAAGTGCTTGCAAAAAGTTTAATTTCTAACATATAATATACAACAAAATAGGTAAATTACCTTCCAGTGGTTTTTGGGTCAAACAATGATCCGCAAATTTAGTCTTATTGGCGAAAGTATGGCCACAATTAGGACAAGCAACAAAATGCTCTTTCGTGTGAGTCTTAATATGATCAGTCAGTTTAGCCTTTTTCTGAAACACTGATTCGCAATCTGAAAAAAAAGGTTATAATTTCATGCTGTTTGTTATTATAACAGTGTATAAAAAATGAAAACTGGTTCTGAAGTTTTCCTTCAAAATGGCTAAGCACAAATTCAGAAAGTAGCTGAGTCTATTTAAACGTAGATAGAGGCAATAGATACCCAAACCCTTCCTTAGATATAAATTATGGAAAATATTTAATTATGAACTGAAAAGGACCCGTTGAGGTTTGTTTATCTCCTGAGAGAGTAGAAGTCGACAGTCATCACCTAATTAAAGCAGTAATAATTTTATTTAATCACTATTAATTTTGCATTGTGTATAATCCAACTCTGTATAAGAGATGAAATACCAGTCATTGCAAGTGAATATGATGGTTAATAATGATTACTATAATATTTGCTTTTAATTGTATAAGTAAACAAAGTATAATGCAATCTAATTAATCAGAAAAAATTGCTTTGCGGGATGATTGTTCGGATTATAAATAGTGTTTAGGAATAGTACATATGATAAAATATTAAACTCAATTAATAAGTACAATTTTATCGTAGTTTCTACCAATTTAGGTCAAATCAAATTCCCCTTTTTCAGTAATTTGTTGGTTGATAAAGTTCTTCCTGACGTGAATATGACTTTAGTGCCAATCTGAAAAATACCAAGCCTGTAGCCTCAATGAAAACCCACGGAAGAATAATTTTTTATCCAAATTTTGGATGCTATGAACATGACAAAGACTTAGTGAACCCAATGGTTCAATGACGATATCATCAATTGCTGTCTGTATTGAAACATCTCTCTTATATTTGACAAATAATAATAATATAACCTCGGAAGCTCACTTCGTACCGTTGGAATACTTCCTAAATAAATAAGAGGTTGTTTAATAATAAACAAAATTATAAGAGAATTAATATATTTATTTATCTCAGGTGTGGGTTACTGACAATCAGATCAACTCAGACAAACTATTATTATTTACACTATTTATATTAAAATTAAATACTGGTTTAAAAATAAGGTTAAGTATGAATTGACAAGCTAACCTTTTTTCTATATACAATGTTTCTTCCTTTGTGGCACTGAATTCATTTGTCTTCACACATTTTCTTATGTTCTGCCAAACACATATCCCAAAATGGTAATACTATTCTTCTACTCAACTCAAGCTCCCTGGGAAGTCCTCTCTCTTGTAATTCCAAACAACTAATCTCTCTGCCAAACAAGATCTTCTAAGATGGTAAAATTATTATTGAGTTTTACCCACTGGGGCCAGGATTGGATATCTTCTCTTAACCTCTCTTCACTGCAGCCACACACCAACTGCTTGCAAAAACAAAAACCTTTGTCCCACTCCTCTTCTGGATTTTCCTTCTTGGGAAACTACAGAGCAGCCATTTTCTTTTCCCTACACTAGTAGAACTAGATTAGCTTGCCTTTTAATTGTCCAACATTAATTCATTAAAACCTTTTTACTCACTTCCAATAAAAGTGTACATTACAATATATAGGATTGGCAAATAATTCCTTTTGGTTTTTCTGAGTGAAATATAACTCGATGTATTATAGACATAAAATTTATTTTAATCTACAATATATTAACCATTATTTAATGATTTTTTTCCATCTTTCCACTAACTGCATAATGCCATGTTCATAGAATGTCTGGAGTTTATTGTTAAAAACTGATCCGAGTGGTTTTTGGAATCTCTTCCTTTTGGAATTTCTTTCCATTCATGGAGTTCTGTAGAGACCGGAAAAAGTGGTAGTCACTTGGACCTAGGTCTGGTGAATAGCGAGAGTAGGGCAAAAGGTCCCATCCAAGGCTCAATAATTTATTGCGAATGACCAATGAGGTGTGGGGCCTAGCGTTGCCTTGGTGGAACACAAAATCCTTCCGATTTGCCAGTTCTGGAGGTTTATTTTTAATTGATTGATCCAATGTGTTAATTGTGATCAGTATAAATTGTTTGTCCTGGAAGCAATAGCTCATAGAAAATAACATCCTTGGAATCCGAACATATGGGAACCATTATCTTCTTTGGATGCAATCCGGGTTTTGACATTCTTCTAGAAGCCTCACTACTAGGTCCCTAAGATTTTCTACCAACTACATTATTGTAAAATATCCATTTTTCATCTCCTGTTACAAACCTTTTTGAAAATGGGTTGTTTTGTTGCTATTTCCATAGTGAATCACAAACAGAAAAGTGTGTTGCCAAATTGACTTCGGTTAGAGAGTGAGGGATCCAAACATTAAGCCTGGAAACATAGCCAAGGTTAGATAAATGGTTTTCTATGCTTATGTGCAACACATTTAGGGCCATAGCAATCTCCCGCACTGATTGGGTGAGATTTTGATCAACAATAGCCTTAACATTGCTCATTTTAATTTCATGTGGGCGACCAGAATGTTGAACATCATTGATGTCAAAATTTCCCGAATGAAATCTGGCAAACCAATTTTGACAGCTGCGTTCGGTTAAGGCACCATCCCCATAAACACTGCAAATTTTTCTATGAGCTTCTGCAGCACGCTTACCTTTTTTAAGGATTCTTGAAGGAAGTTAGTCGACTGTTCTACATATCATGGGTGATAAATATTCAAGACGCAGTCTTTTTAAATTTTTTTATTTATGCCAACATTTCAATCCAAACATGTGGGTCATCTTCAGGGCGTGGTTTGAGCACTGAGGATGTTCAAGTACTGACACATTTGATAGGTACGTGGCACTTACCTACCAAATGTCTATCTACCCCTTGGAATTTACCAGTTGGTAAAACATATATTTATTTTTCAGGGATTCATTCATTACTAAACCCAATAATTTTACATGCCCATTTTATTTGCCACAATGTAATCACCTTGATAATATTTACAGGGTACAGTTCACACAATTTGGTTTTGTGTAACCGCCTAGATTCTCTTAACACGTCCTTTGATCCAAATATTCTACACAAACCTTATCTATCTATAAAAAAAAAAAATTGAGGAAGATGAATTAATTTTTCTTCTTGGTCCATTAAAATAATTATCTCAATAAAAGGACTAAGCTGTATAAAACTGTCCACCCTTCCTTCTCACAGCTTTCTGGAGTGTATAGAATACCTAAGTTCAGATTAGAGAGATTTTAGTGGTCTGTTTCTTAAAACAATAAAACTTTTATTTGAATAGATAATAAAACAGCAGCAAACATAAATTTGAGCTGCACTAGAATTCAAGTGATAAAGAATACATACTTTTCAAATAATAAAAAAAGTTTCATTCTTAGCTAAAAACTTGAAATCACAGTACATCTTGGAGATGTGGTGGGGACTGGGAGTATGGTATTAGACCACCAATTACAAGAGATCTTTCTATATATAATTTGTTAACCATTATACTATTAAAAGTACACTTTGTTAAAAAAAAAAAAAATTGAAAGGTAATCCACCCATTTAAATCTGTATAATCCTTTAAAATGAGCATGACTCAAGTGAATAAGCAAATGAATTCTAATACCATCATCTTTGATAATAACTTCAATTTTTACAACATAATGAATTTTAAGTTTAAAGATACAAGTGATAGTGAACTAGTATCAAAAGCATTAATATTACTCACCAGTCCATGAACATTTCATTGAATCTTCTTTCGTCATCCACTTAATATGGTGATGAACATGATCAATAAATTCTTGAATTCCTACACAGGATTCGCTACAATCATTCCATGAACAAATGTATGGAAGATCACCAACATTGTTCATAACATGGTACTCCGAAGTAATTAGACATGGCTGGAGTAAAATAATTTTTATTTATTAAAAGATTAACAAGGGTAATATAAATAAAAACAAAATATTAGGATAAAAATGTAAATTTACTGGAAGTTCGTTTGTTTCAGACACATATTTGCCAAAAGCTTTCAAACCAGACAAATATGCATGATATTTTATGTGTCTAGTGATTTCTTGAGAATCTTTTGAATCATAACTGCAGGAGGACCAAAGACAACTATAATATTCTGAAATAAATGAAATAAAACTTTTAACAGGTAATTATTTACACCGATAAATAAACTAATAAATACGTTTAGAATACCTTCTTCACTTTCATCAACATTTATTTCTAAGTCACGAACATGCTTACTAATGTGCCCATAAAACTCATATTTTGATAAAGAGTCACTCACACAACCCTTCCAATCACACTTAACAGTAAATTCAACGGCTTGTCTATCAATTTTTTTTATTTTATTGTCAACAGTAGTCATAATTTAAAATACCTCTAAGAATCAGTCGCTAAAATGTAATTAAGAACCAAAAAAATGTTTAAAATATCAAATTAAAACTTTAAATAAGAACAATTGCAACAAAATGTAATAACAAATGAGATTTATTGATTTGCTATGCCTTTTTACACATAAATGAGAGTATTCATCACAGATAATAACAAATTAAATTTTTAACATTCAAAATAGACGAAGCCAGGTTTCAAAACAATAACAATAACCTACCAATCATATAGAATCGTACATTATATAGTTATCAGTAAAACAATTGCTATTTAATTGAATATTAGTATTAATTCTTTAATTTAATTTCTATGATTTATCAACTACTAAATATTTTTAAAATATAATTTTACTGATAAGCTATATTTATTTCGAAATATGCATTAGCAGATGGATAAAATTAATTAAGAGTTTCCAATCGATTATTATAACTGTGAAGGTTCTTTTTATCACAGGTTATTTTTTTCTATAGATAAGTTGAATTTATAGTTGCTCGATATGTCCCTCTCTAGGGGCATTCATTTATTCAAAACAATTAATAGTTTGAAAAAGCCTGTATATGGTCATTTAGTACAGCAATCTCGGAATAGTGGTGGATTGTAAGTTATACAAATTTTCACTTTGTTAGCTTTCAACATCAGAAGTTTCCTAAATATTTTTTTTTTTTTTTAAATTTCTTTATGACATTTACAACTGTATTACATAAATACATCAAGTAAATTTCCTAAATATAAAATATTTTTAGGTACTCCTATCGATGTGGTGCTTATCCTCCAACGAAATTTCAAATTGTTGGAGCCAATGTATTACAAGGTTTCATGTGGTGGTGGATTTTGTGGCATTTATGGCACGAACCTGACCATATTACTGTAAGAGGATAATTTCTTAACTATACTATTCTTTTGAAGTTTTAAACGATTCTTTTTGACAGATTTTTTAGAAGAGTTTTTTAGCTGAGGTTCATTCCTGGGAATTATGTACTGTATAAGTTTGCCAAGATCCCACAAACCTGTAAGAATTAAAATTGGTAATGCTCTATGTGATTGCGAACTGAGCTTTGCCTTCATGAAAGATAATTAAGGCCACAATTTTAATTGAATAGGACTAGTTGAAAGTTTTCGGGAATTTTAAAGTGCAGTTTATTAAAGGGGTGTTATACCTCTGAGTTATAACACATTGTCGATATTTGGCCATTCTGTAAATTACAGTTATAATGTCATAAGATTTTGTGCCCACCCATCAAAGTGGAGCAGCTCTTGTAAAGTATTACAAACTTCTGCTTGCGAATGCAGATGTTCTACTAATGTGTCCTTTTGAGTGATCCAATGTCCATTACCTAAAGGATTCTTGACAGCCATGAAGTACTTGATGAGATACATTTAAAGAATATTCATAACTTTTAAAGATTATTCGACTCTGTTTACTTTTGGACACACTCCATATTTTTGGAATACCGTTTATATTCTTATCACGTGTCCAGCCACTATGTTGAAGTAGCACTGCTCCATTCTTTCCCTGAATTCCTTATAAGAAGTTTTAGAATTAAGAAAGCTCCTTCCTACTTGAAGGACTACTATACTTGAGATTGTTCATTGGTTTATTTTTCATTTTCTTGTTTATTTTTCTTAAAGGGGAAGTGAATGATATATGATATATTGTGATCTAGTTATCAATTGTTTCTAAAAAGACATGTTAGTTGCTTAACCTTATTAATTTAGTTAATCTCATTACTGTGTGTTGAATTCAGTTTAATAAATTGTTATAGAGTAATAGAGATAAATAAGGAATGCCGTGAAACATAAAGACTTTATTTAACTGAATTCTACACACAATTATTAATTAAATTAATAAGGTTAAGCAACTAACATGTGTTTTTAGATTGATAACTTGATCACAATATATCATGTATCAAGTTTAAAACTATCTTGCAGTTTGTATGCAGTAATCCTTTTGCCATATCAATCTACTTTAACACCAGTGAGCATTTGAACCAAAACAGAATTAACTATTTATGTAATAGAATTAGTCAGGTAGCTGCTATGGAAAAGTTAACTCTTTTTTTTTTTTTGCACTTTTATTTATTAATTACAATTTTACCTGTCAATTACAACCATCGACAATCAGCAGATGAGCTGGCAGAATCATAAGGTAAAAAAAAATAAAAAGGCTTGATAGGCTGAGGAAAAGCGATACCCAGCGGCATGCCTTCCATCTCTTTTACTTACTTACATACAATTATGTAAGTAGGTCCCTCATCCAGACCCTTTTCAGTCGTCTTCTGGAGTTCTCCAGCATAATAGTAGTGGCCATTTCTTTAATTAGCTGGTTGGAGTGTCCATGTAATTTATTATGAAATCGTTTGTAGTAAGTTCCTATGTGTTCATTGATCGTTAGCATGTGTAAGTCAGTGTGTAAAGTGTTGTTATTCACGTACCAGGGTGCTTGGGTAATTAGTCGTAGTATCTTAGACTGAAAAGTTTAAAGTCGTTTTATGTGTGTTAGTTTTGCAATTCCATATATTTGTAGTCCATAAGTCCAGAGAGGTTTCAATAGGTATGTATAAATATTTAATTTCTGTCTTGCTTTTAATTTAGTTGAGTTTTCCATAGTTTACATCAATCGTTTAGTTTTTGTAAGTAATGTTGTAGGTTAAGTGATGCCTGTGTAGGATTATCGTGTCTAGTAATGATAGCAGTGTCGTCTGCGTAAGTTGCTGTAAGGGTGTGGATACTTTGAGGAATGTCATGTGTGTATGTGATGTACAGTAATGGGGCTAAGATTTATCCCTAAGTTACACCAGCTAAAATAGGTCGAATTGAGGATAGACCTGAACCATGTCGAATAGAGAAAAATCTGTCGGAGAGAAAGGAATGAAGAATTAAGTAGTAGGTTGGTGGAAGTATGGTCTTAAGGTTGAAGAGAAGCCCCTGATGCCATACTTTGTCAAATGCTTGGGCGACATCCTGAAATACTCTGGTTGCATATAGTTTCCGCTCTAGTGCTGTTGATATGTAGTCAGTTACCCTGTGTAGTTGAATGTAATTTTTGAAACCCGAATTGATGGTCAGGAATAATCTGTTTGTCTGTTAGTATATGTAATAGTCCTGAGTACAATAGTTTTTCAAATAATTTAGAACACCCTGGAAGCAAACTAATCGGGGTGACTCTTTTAATGTTGGTTTTATTGTTTATTTGTTTGTATAAATATATATATAATTTTATTTTTTTTTCCTATGCCTGCTTGATCAGCCATGCGTGCTCTTGCAGTCCACATATATTGTGCCATGGGTGCTTTTGAACATATATCAATTCAGTACAAAGTTCTATAACTCCTTACAGTTTTTAAACTATCATTTGGTGCTACCTTCATCAACATTTAGCCCATTAATTAGCAATGCGGTACAATGGCATCTTCTGCAATGCTTCTGACAGCCCTCTTTCCTTGCTCAATGGTTTACTTTGAAAGAACTTAAATTTTCTGTGTAAATACCAAAAATTAGCTTTGTACTAATTATGTAATAATTTACTGTGCAGTTTTATAGAATCCATTTTCGGTTGTAAGATAATTGACAATTTGTTATAATGTTAAATTGCAGCAGTAAATAAAAAAAATAAATAAATGCACCACTACAACTTATAGTCTTGGGTTCAGCACTTCGTAGTTAGTAGTATTTCTTGGCCAACAGTCCTTCAGGGGTGATATGACTGATATCATGCTCAGCTATCATGTTTTTCCCATTATTAATTATTTAATCAAGAGAACTCAGTTTGTAGAAAATCAAAACAGTTTGTGATGGTATGATCATTCCGCAATTATCTTCTTATTAACTATTTTACTTGACATTACAAAATTTTTTTTTTCAAGTACAAACCTATATATTAAAAATAATGGTATGAAAATAAATCTATTTCCACAACCAGAATTTTTTTTTTCATGGAATGTAATGAAGTTTGCATTACTAAAGTATTCTTTAAAAAATAGTTCATTTAAATGAAAATTAAGGTACAATTTTTATAACATTTTCTGCCCTGAATTAAAGACCATTCTTTCTTTGCAATACAAACCGCAATCAACCTCTTTTTTGTTCAAGAACAGGCCTTTAAGTTTATTTCTTTCCAAAAGGGACCCTATTCAAGTTTCAATGTTGTTTAATTACTTCTGGAATAATCAGTGATTTCTTGGAAAAAATTCTTAATTTATTTTTTTGAAAAATCTTAAGTTTTGATGTTACTTACAATTGGATTAGAAAATATAGTTTGTCGAATTTCATTAAGAATTGTGAATAATGATTAGGATCCACTGTGGTAATAAATGACTGTAATTTTATAATTAATGATCATTGTTCTAATTTTAGGGAGAATTTCCATGGGTAGATGCTTCAAAGTTAACTGATGCAGAACTTGGAATTCCACCTGATGATGAGTGAATTTTCAAGTACAATTTGATAGATATATCTGATTGATTTAGTTGGCAATAATTTTAAGTTGTGAAAATTGTAATATATATTGATGTTTAATAAAATGATAATGAAATATTGTTTTTAAATAAAATATTTATTTCATAATAAAAAATTGGCTTAATTATAAGCAAACTTCTTCAAATTCAAAATTTACAGTTAACTACAAACTACAGAAACAACAACTAAATGTATCTGCTGTAGTGAGTGTAATTCAACACCTCTTCAAGACGGTCTGTGAATAGAAAGATATTTGTATTAGAAATTTAAAAGAATTTAAAGTAATATTTATAACAAAGCATTTCCTCTATTCTACAGATTGCAAGAAATGTTTGAAAGGGTTTTAAAATTTCAGTGAATAAAATAAACAAAATTTTACACTTTATATTTATAATATGTACAATTGTTCAAAATTATAATAACAGAACTCTTCTTAGTAAATTCCACAATTTGTTATCTGTACAGATGTATGTAAAATAAGAAGTGAAATAAAATTATTCTTTCACAGACTAATGTCATATAATCGAGTGGTAACAAACAATTGAAAGTAAATGAAGCTCAGTCAAAGGTAATATGTTTTCTCAATATATTTTCTGCTTTCCTCATCAGTTTATCTTTACCTCTTTCCTTTTTCTTTACATTTTTTGACAGTTTACCTTGTCGATCTTCTTGAATTTTATTCCAATAGGCAGCTTCTTTTTCTCCTAAAATAAACAAAAAGAATATAATGTAAGAGGTTATAATATAACATAATATCCTTATAATATAATATAAGGAAAAGTCATCTTATTCAGGTTCGCTTAATTTTTCTAAAAGTAATTATACAAAGGGTTTAACCATGCTATGAATATACCATTTGTTTCTGCTATTATACATATATAGCAGAAACATGATATTGTTTTTGTAGAAGATTTGTTAATAAAGTAAAGATTATCTTTGTCCATTTGACAGGGGGATTTTGGCTTATTATTTTCAAGAATGAAATTTGGAGTAAAACCCAAAAAAGTTATTTTTTACCCCTTCAAAATTTGAGGTTTTGATTCCAAAATATACGGGATAGTGTTGTGGCTTTTATCCGAGACTGCTGGGCTGATTTCCAGTTACCTAAAGATGAAATATACAATAAACGAAAGTATTGTAATCATGAAAATTTTAGAATCACAGTTTTCAATGGAAATACACCTTTTGAGGTTCATTGACTCCAAATAACGAAGTCCTGCAAAATAGTCTCTCTGTGTGCATGAACAGCCTAGCTCAAAAATGAAAAGCCGTATGAAAATGAAATTATGTATTTGAGGTTTTTATAATCCTTAAATGTTACAGCAAAATGTTCGTCAAAATCGGCAAACCGGAAGTTGAACTTTATATAACCAATTTAACACATTATTACGATTTTCTCAAAAACAGTTCAAACGATTTTGATTAAACACAGTATATCAGTGTATTATTAAGCAATTTTTAATATAATGTAGATTTTATTCTCATTGATAATCTCTAACAGGGCTTAAATGGCTAATTTTCAATATTAGCTCTCTCTAAAGTACACTTAATTTTTTTTTTTTAAATAATTAACCATTTCACATTAATCTTTGATACAAAAAATAGTTAAATATAAAATATGAAAGAATTTGGTAATTAACTAAAGGAGGTATAAGAGGTATTAACGAATAATAGTTGTAATGAAAGAACCAAAGGAATACTAGCGCGTCCGAGCTCACCCGAAAGAGTACTACGGGCTTCCATACATAACATGAGCTTAATATAATATGAACTCCGGCAATATTATGTACATATACATATGCGGTTTTCATAAATGCAATCGTTGGTATTATTTAATATTTAATTGTATAGAATACAGCGATATAAAAATTAAAATTTGTCTATATGAGGGAATTTAAACAAATAAAAATAACCACAATGAAATGTAAATAAATATAGCATCTATGATTTTTACTTTCACTTCCTCTTTGTGTGAAAATACTAAATATAACTTTTGAAAGAATTTGATAATTGAATAAAGGAGAAAAAAATAAAAATGAATATCCAGAAATAATATTCAGAAGGTATACACATAATATATCGTTAGAAAGCGGGGACTAAAAAAAAAATATCTAATATAGAAAGTTGTAGAAGGTAACGGAGAGTGGCAACAAAAATTTAATAATAATTTCTAAAAACTAACATTATTTAACATAAATCATGTGTTTTCAAGGGAATTAGATGAAATTTTCTTACTAAATGTAAACTTTTAAAATTGTTTTTAAGTTTGAAAAAGTATTTAAAATCTATGGGTTGAAGGTAATGACATTGTTTAAGGTACTATTTCATTGTACTTGTGTAAAGAAGAAGTGAAATATAAAAATATTTCATGGATATGCTTATAACCTTAAATATATTCACTGTACTTTGATAACTGTAGATCTGATATTATATTTAAATAATTAGGTATCTATCGTCCGTTTATTCCAAAAAATCATTGTGCAACCTTTTAGAAAATTAAATTTGTGAATGATTTGATGAATTTCCCCTTTGTGATACTCAACAGTATCCACCTACAATTAGTTTGACAACTTTTGACCTGTCCATGACAGACAACACAAATCTCTTAATTCCATTTTAGCAAACTTTGCAATGGAAAATAACAGTGTAGTAACTAATAGTCGTACAATCCATAATCAACTGGTGATGTAATAAATAGGACTTTTGTTATTTTAATTGTATTTATGGTTTGTTCGCTGTAAGATTTTAGCTTGACTCATATAAAAATGTAATTCAAAAATTTTATAATAGCCAGAAAATAATTTCTATTCAAAGTTGTGCCAGATTTTTTATTAATGGCTACTTACTTCAATGAAAAGAAGCTGGGAAAAAATTTATGAAGGGTGGTAAAATTAGATTTCCGAATAATTAAAAAAGTATATACTTTTTTTTTTAATGTTGCATTCAGTTATTGAAAAGTTTACAAAATTTCCTGAAAAAAAAAATTGTTGAAATCTGACAATTTGGTAGAAAGATTTGTAATTATTTAGATTAGTGAAAAGTGTTCTAAATATTTTCCATATCTTCTTAAGCTTATGTCCTTTGTTTTGATTTCTGGTTATTGGAAAGTGTTAAATTAACTGAAGCAATGTTGTATATTTTCTTAGCATTTACTAGCCATGAATAAAAAAAATTATTTAGGCCTATATTAGGAATCATCTTTTATTTATTTTCTTTTATATGACAAGGACAAAAATGTTACTTTCGATATATAATTGATTGGAAATAATAAACCATTGTGTAATAATTTGCAGCAGTGTTTTGTTCTACTTCGTTAAATGAGCCATTGTTCTCCCATGTATATTGGGAAGATAATGCAAAGTTGATAAACTGATTTCTTTACCTTTAAGAATTTTTGATTTTGGCCAAGATGAACTTTCACAATACAATGAAGCTGCCTCCGGAGTGGTGAATCTAACATGCATCGAATTATCACCTTCTTTTACATCGATGAATGCAGCACCATGATTTTTCCGCAAGCCATTCTAGGAGCAAAAATAAATATAAATATATCAAATTAATGAAACTATAATAAACTACTTTTGTAACCAATGGAAAAAAGGAAAAATGTTTCTATCTTTTAATAAAATCACAGAAAAAGGATTATAAAAACTATAATATAACATTAAAATAGATAGACAATACTGGGGTAGAAATCTATTGAAGGTAATAGAGAAACTGAGACAGTAGGGTCACAGGAAGCGGCAAAGACTCATAGCAATTGAGTATTTAAGTTTCTTTATCACAATGATATTATTATTGTATTTCTGTTAACTACGAGACACTAATACTCAACATATCCAACTGGAAGGGTCCGATAAAATTATTTATCGGATTAATTATGTAATGAGTATCACTAGCGGATCCAGGATTTAATTTTTGGGGGGGCTTCAGCCCGAAAGATTTTTTTTTTTATAAATATTCATAAAAATAATTTGAAAAAAAAAAAAAGAAACTAACTGCCTGAATGAAATGGTGTTTAAGTGGTTCCTGAAGTCCTATTAAATGTAATTAAACGAACAATAATACTTTAAAAGATAGTTTTTAATATTTTTTTCCTCTAAAACATGGATATATTTTACCATTTGGGGGGGGGGGAGGCTTCAGCCCGAAAGCCTCCCCCCCTCTAGATCCGCCTGTGATGAGCATTACATAGTCTGGCGTGAGGCTCAACCTCATTTATTGCCCACAAAAAAAGTGCCAAGCGCACTTAAAAAGAAATTTAAAATCATACCTTCAATTCTTTCACCTCAACAGCTGGTTCACTGAATTTAACTTTTACAATTAATCCCTCAGTAAAAGAACTGCCTCCTTTCTTTTCTTCGGTAATTTCTTTTTCTTTAATGATTTCAGTTTGTTGAGGAGCCTTATCATTTTTTTTAAATGCACCATTTTGCTTAGAATTCTCAGCCTTTTTTCTAGCCAAATATATGTGTTTCTTTAACTGTTTCATCTTTTCTTTTTGCATATTTAGATACTTGTTACGCAACCTTTTCCAATCTTTCCTAAAAAAAAGACAATTAATTAGAAATAAAAATAGAAAAATAAACTTTATTTTGTGGGACAAAGTCCCTTAAGAAACAATGTTGTTCATACAAATTAACATTAAATCTGGCCATAAGACACAATTAGTAAGAAAATGTTAAAACGTTACAGTCATACATTAAAAAGATAAATTTTCCTTACTTGGACATCACTTGAAGGTCAGAGTGTTCCATAGCATCTCCGTTCTTCTTTTTCTTAGATTTCTTTTTCCTGTTTTTCTTTTTTTTCAATTCATCAGGATTTCCCTCCTCACACTCTACAGTACTTGTATTACCATCATCCTTTTCTGATTCAATAGCTGTGGTCTCATCCTTTTCTGTGTTTTTTTCTGCAATGAAAATTTTTATGTAAGTAGCATAAAACTAATTTAACTTGAAAGAGACTGAAGAAAATATAAAAGTTTGAATACAATACAAAAATGTATAAGGAAAATATATCAAAGTAAAGAAATAAGCTTCTTTATGTATAGTATACAGCTCAGATAAAATGAACCAATTTATGACAAAGATATGTTTTTTTTTAAATATGACAAATAGGTCAAGGAAACAAATTGTCTACAACTTGTTCAGTACAACAAAGTTCAGTGTTGGTCAAAAGTATTAAGCATGAGGAAATATCACCATTAAGTAATTTTATTAAGTTTGACCAGAAAAAGTAAGATAAGATAGTTTTTGCATTACGAAATCTCAAAATGAAATTGAGGTCTGAAAATAAATTTTTTGTTAAGTCCATGTTAACAAACATTACAACAACAGAAAGATAGTTTAGCACATACTAAGTAACAATCTCCTGATCTCTATAGTTTAGGGCATAGCATTTAAAACATACTGACTGCTTTGGGATGAGATCTATACGATGGAATAGATAATAGAAACAAGTGGGTAGCATAGCAAAAAGTTCTTATAAAGAAGATAAATACATGACAGACTCTGGTTAAACATATTAACACACAATATTTTTTTAAGTACCTTACCTTCAATACTTTCTTCAATTTTAGTTTTCTTCTCAGGCCTCTGATTTTCATCAGGAGAATTAGATGCTTTTCTCCTTTTTAATAATTTAATGTCTTTGTCTGTTGATTCTGATTCACTGACAGCAGATTGTTCACACACATTAGATTCACTCTCAACGAGTTTTCCAGCTTTATTAGGTTCCTCATAAGTGGCGATACTTAGTAGTTCAGCTGGTTCAATGTCCGGGGATAAATAATTTCCATTCTTCTTAAATTCCTAGAAAAATAATTATGTTTCAAGTTTAAAATTAAAATTTTTACTTGGCACATATTTCATAAAATATGTTTCTCCATAAAAGCTATATTCAATAAATATATTATAGTGGAGAAGTAATAATTAAATAAAAATGATTCAATACCTTAGTAACTCTTTCAGCAGATTCCACGTCAGCGAATTCAATGAAAGCAAAACCTTTGCATTTATTAGAATTTTTGTACTTAGGTATTGAGATATAATCTATTTTTCCATATCTTGAGAAGATATTACTTAGATAATCATGATCAGCATCAAATGGAACTTGTTCCTAGAAAATATAAAAATCATTTACCACAAAATTGGATAATAATAATACTGGAAGATATAAAATCATCAACAATCAAATTACTTACAATATAGATTATGTAGTCATCTTCATTTTCTTTGAACTTAACGGGTTGGGTTCTTGTAACTTTCATGTCATCCGTAACAGCAATTATTTCAGACTTTTTCAAAGCTTTAGCCAAATCATTCACATCTAGCGTCAAAGCTCGAATTTTATTAAATTTCAAAAACTCGGTGAGAGGAACAGCTAGAACATAAATATTAGTCATAGCATGTTATCACCTGATATTGTATTTTGAATAGATAATTATGAAATTAATTTATAATGACATTCAAAAAGTAATTCACGTATATATTACTAATTTTTAAGTAATAAAAGTTTTACAAGATAATACTTCAGAAATACCAAATCCTGAATCACAACAAAACCAAGAAGTGTAATGCATATCGGAATAATAAGAGAGAACGAAAATATATTGGATATTCATTAAGTATAAATAAAACAATACCTCCTCTAAATCTATAAATGATGGTATATCCATTAAAAAAAAATTGTTGGTCTAACAAAATAATAGTACCAGGTACCTTTAGATAAATTTCAATCATCATGACAAAAACTGTTCATTATTTTCTTTTCATTATAAAAAACCTCTGGATAGATATATAATTAGAAACATAACAATTCTCTTAGGCAAGGAGTTATAGTCGATGAAAATTTCCTTGTTATAAAAGTACATTGTAAGCAATTGTATTGATCACTGATTAGCTGTTTTTTTTTTAAATAAATGAATAAAGTATAATACTTTTAGGGCTTAAGCACTATAGATTTAAAGCACGATTTATTTCAGGAAAACTATGAAATCTCCAAAATTAACTAAGGCAATGTGGTTTTTGATAACTTTAACATTGCATTAAATTATTTTTCTCTATTAATGCACCAGAAGAATAAGTGTTTCACATCTTAAAGATTAATTAATAAATAATGTTTACATTTTACTCACTTGTTGGATTCTTGGTTTCATGGGATTAAGAAACATTTATTAAACAAAAATCATTAACTAGATTCTAACAACATATAAATGAGACAGAGTTAACAAAAACTTGAATATAAACCTGTTTGATTTCAAAATGTAAAACATAATAACACCTCTTTGATGTGATCTGTAACATACCATTTTCTTCTTCTAGCTTTTGACTTAGCCATCTATCTTTCGCCAGATTCGAGGCGCTAAAATAAAATTCCATTTGCGAGAGAATATTTTTATACAATTGTTTTTTTCTTCCGCGTTTTTTGGTAACACCTTCATTTTCAGGAATTTCAACTTCCATAGTCTTGAGGTTGAAATCGCGCTTTCAAACAGGAGGTTACAAACATAAACATGAAGCATTTAATCGATTGCTAAATCGATTCGTACGCTACTATAATATATTTTACAATTAAGATCTTTTTCTGCTTGAGTAAACGGAAAATTAAATATATTTACAAAATTAATAATATAATAAATGTTTTTAACTGTATGGAAAGGGGAATAAAATATAAAATTTAAGTAGAGCATCTAAGTATTGTGAAGGTGCGTTTAAACATTTCACAAACTATTGGAAAAACAAATATATAAATGATTATTTCGCCATATTTATATTTTTGTTACTTGTTTTTGGTATTTTCCATTTACTATCGGTGTCAAAAGAAATAAAATAAATAGTTTAATTTCGCTGTCAGTTAAGTTATACAATTGTGTTTCCAACACTGAACTACTACCATTCACAAGATTTAACAATTTATTAAACATTTCAAGACAGTTAAAATCTGATCCTAGTACATCCAGCGTGCCTGGTAAGTGTTAGATTTCAAAATTTTATAGTTAACAATTACATTAGTTATTACAACTAAAAAAAAACTTAAAACATCCATACATGCATAGGATCTTGTACAAAGTAATTTAATGTTTCGTAACAGTATAAAGCGTATTTTAGTTTAAAAATATGACATCAGGGTGTGAATTAATATATTTTTAAATAACCAATCGATCAATATTTCGCCAAATTAGGTATCTATTGGAATGAAAAATTCTATGTTCAGTATTACTGGCGGATCTATGGGGATAGATTTCGGATTCAATCCTCCCATAAAATAGACAAATTATTTTTATTTTCATTGATCCGAATATATTGTGGAGAAATTGACTGTTAATTCTTCTAATAGAAGTTGGTTGGTGATTAGTCATGGAATACACAATATATATATATATTGCTTTGTTATAGAATATATATATATATATATATATATACATACAATATAATTTATTTTTGTATACTCCATCTGTCAGTATTGACTCCGATGTTAATATGTTCCTTTTAAATTATAAAGCGTATACAGCAACTGTTGTACTTATGCAAGTACGTAAGCACGTGTCAAGAAAAACTGTAATCAGATTTTTTTTTTGTACAGGCCTTCAAGGAACACTTGACCATCATTTCATTTAGTTTCTTTCTTTTTCTGTGAGAGTAATTGTGGTTACAGAAGGAAAAAAAAGTGTTCCCCCCCCCAGTGTTCCTGAATACTGCAGTCTAGAAGCAACATGACACAGCTGGTATTTCTAATGGCTTTGTTAGAATAAAGTGAGACACGGCTTGTTTGTAGATGCTATGTAAATATCAATAATTACTAATAATATTTGTGTAAAAAATATATAAATATTGTGATATTTTAAAAAAAAATAGAAGTATGGTGCTGTGTGCATGTTTTTTATTTTTTTTTTTCAATTTTAAATTATTGATTGTTTTTTAAAAGACTCAGAATCTTACAAAATGGGCGAATAGTGTCAGAATACACTTTTTTTATAAAAAAATTACCTTGATGAGTACAGTTCAGTTTGGTCTAAGATTTCAATGAATGATAAACCTAGAACAATTATTTTGAAGGTTTTGCGTGGTTCTAAGTTGTTACTAGTAATTAGTATAAACTAGTTGACTCGTGTGAATAATTCGCATAGTATATTGGTCTGTGAACAGTAGTTAATATAATATAGAAATAAGTCAATGTGATTTATTATGAGATAGAGAAAATAATTTTCTTTTTCTCAGTCGAATCACATTAGTTCATTCATAATAATAATTCGAGTTCGCTGTAATACAGAATTTTCCAATTGCTATTCAGTTGAGGTAGCGTTTAGGGTCTCGTTCTTTGTATCCTTTTTATAATTGTTATTCCGATACCTTCAACAACTGGCAACATTTGCTGATGACACCGCCATCCTATCATCTAACTCAAATCCCGAAATAGCATCCTTAAATTTGCAAAGACACCTCTCCCTGATGTAGCACTGGTGTAATAAATGACGCATTAAAGTAAACTAATCCAAATGCAAACACATTACCTTAACACTCCGACGCAGATCCTGTCCACCAGCTCACTTCAATTCCAACCAGTTTTCTATTTCAGACAGAGTATGATATCTTGTTTTTCCCATAGACCGAAGACTAAAGTGGAAACCCCATAATACATTTAAAAGACAAGATTGTAAACGACGGTACTGCCAACTGTACATATTAATGATTAGAAATTCGCAACTTTCAATTTACAACAAATTACTGATCTACAAGACAATCCTGAAACCTATTGGGACCTACGGACAATAACTGTGTGAGACGGCCAAATTTACTAAAATCACACATAGCCAATTCTATCTGCCACAAATCTTTCTACCAACAGTCGATTCTCTGTTCTATGTAATCAACAAACTCTACACCATGACATTAACATCATATCTGTCCTAGACCTTATAACAGAAATATTATCCAAATTTCACCAGAACCTAACGTATCATCAAAATCCTCCTGCACAATCTCTATCTAGTTCCAACCATCCCTATAATTCTTCAAGAAGGTTAAAACGACAGTGGCCGCGACCTTTTATAATATGTCTATATTGGAGTTCTGACGACGAAGACATGAGTGAATGTGTCTAAAACGCTCTCGCTCAATTTCCACTGGTTTTCATACCAGTGATGCGTTTGAGAGAGTTGCGGAGGGATCGCATGGAGTCCTGCTTTTCCCATTATAGTTGTAGGGACAAGCCTGGCTTGGAGTTCCCTTTCCTGATTGTAAATAATGTTTATAAGTATGTCTGTTTTTTTTTTAATTTACTTATCTTTAAGTTATTTTATTTGTATTTATTGTATATATTTTTTGCTTATTATTAAGTTGTTATTTTGCCTCTGTTTATTTTATATTTTCTGTATATATAGTGTGAATGTAGTCTTGTATAATTATTCATGTGACAGAATGTTGTATTACTTAATAAATAAAAAAATTAAATAGGTAATAAACCAAAACATGTATACATTACTATGATTTTCTACTTTCATTTACGTATTTATGTAATATATAGTAAGGGTAAGTATTGCGATCGAGAAAATTTTTGAATTTGAGTTTTCAAAGGAAATATACGTTTTGGAGTACACTGAGTCCAAATAACCAAGTCCTGAAAAATAGTATGTGTGCCCGTATGTCTGTGAACACTAGCTCGAAAACGAAAAGTCCTACGAAACTGATATTTCGTATTTAAGATAGGTAAATGCCTTAGATATGGCAGCAAGCTTTTCTTTAAAATCGGCTGACCGAAAGTGTCACTTTATATCAACGCTGAAACACATTTTCATAATTTTCCCAAAACGGCTCTAACGATTTTGATTAAACTCAATGTATCATTGTATAATTAAGTGTTTTTTAATATCAATTAGGTCTTATCCCCATTGATGTCACTTTACAGGGCTTAAATGCGCAATATTCATATACGTCTTCCTCTAAAGTATCTTTATATTAACAAGTTAATCATTTCACATTGTTCAGTGTTACGAAAAAATTCTGAATATAACTTTTGAAAGAATTCGATAAGTTAATAAAGGAGAAAAAAATAAAAATACAGAAAAACCTGCGTTGCTATATACTGTAGCGCCTAAACGAATGTACCGATTTCAATAAAACTTCGCTAAAGTCATTTTCTCGACACCCTTTAACTTTATCTATATCATACCTATCTATAACATACTTCAACGAAAAGAAGCTGGAAAAAAAGTTACGAGGGATGTTAAAATTAAATTCCGAATAACTCAAAAAGTATACGCTTTTTTGGGGATATTGTCGTTTTTATGGAATTTCGAGAAAAAAACAAAAAAAAATCCTTAAGATCGGACAACTAGGACGAAAGATATGGTCTCTAGTTTTTTCCCCTGAAGAGGTGAAAATTTGGATAAATTTAAAATATACTTTTTTAATTGTTGAGACTAAAAAAACTTTTTTTTCTACAGATATTTAATAAAGTATCTTTTCTAAGAACATTTTTCATAAGAAATAAGCATCTAAATTTATACCTTTATTCTCAGTTCTATATTTCAACACTGCAATCACCACCTCCGGAATCAACTTACTCATATTCTGCATAGATAACTTTTTCAACTAAAAATATTACTTAAATGACTTCACCTAAAAATATTGAAATTGAATTTAGTCATTCTGAAGTTTATAAAAGCAAAGAAAGTTGTGTGGTTTATAAAAGCAGATGGAGTGACTAGATTTGTATAGCCTGTCTTCGATATATTAAATAGACATTTTGTAATTATAATGGTCTTAATGACTTGTCATCTGTAAGCTTTAAGCTTTAGCTCCGTTTAAAATGCACTTCAAAAAAATTTATAATAGCCCAGCATTGCCAGAAAATAATTTCTATTCATAGTAGATCGGTAAGTGAAAGTTATGTGTTGCGCGCACCAGACTTTTTTTATTCGTTTTTCGAATTCTGCGTAGCCTGAAACATAAAACCTCAAATTTTGAGGGGGGAGGAGAGAGGTAAGTTTTTGATTTTTTTGTTCGATTACAATGGTTCGTTATTGAAAATAATAAACCAAAAAATTAATTAGGTTATAAACCAAAACATGTATACATTACTATGAGCTGTTTCGATGATTTTTTTGTTTTTTTTTTTGTAGGAAATTTAGTAATCTTTCAAATAATCATGGGTGGGGTATACTGAGTATAAATATAGGGAAGCATACTTCTTGAGTTATTAGCATATAAAGTTTGTTGTCATCACGGAAGGATCTACGGGGAAGGGGAGGGAACTTTTAGGCAGAAGCCTCCCCCCAAAATAGTAAAATATAACCATGTTTTATAGAAAAATACATTAAAAAATTATCTCTTTAAGTATATTTAAATTCCCCGCTCTCACCCCCCGGCCCGGGAAAATCCCGTATAGCCTAAAAGGCGAGGTAGGGAAGAACAGAAAAAAAAAAAATCTCTTTAAGTATTATTGTTCGTGTAATTGCATTTAAAAGGACTTAAAGAATTATTTAAACA